TGTTTCGTCTTTGTGATCAAACAAGCGTGCTGTGATCTTCTATTTCTTGGTGATTTTTGTGTCTTATTTTTCATATTCCTTCTCTTGTAGGGCATAACCAAGGACAATGCTGAGGAGAAGGAGTTCGTGACTGCACCCGTCAAGTCCAAAAGCTGGTTCTCTCTGTCTTCTCAGGGCAATCCTAATTCAGGAGTTTCACTGTCGATTGGACTTTCTGCTGTGAAGAAACGTACGAAGAAACTTACAAAGGTGCTGTTTGTGATACCTTTTCCCCGCTTTTGTTTCGTCTTTGTGATCAAACAAGCGTGCTGCGATCTTCTATTTCTTGGTGATTTTTGTGTCTTATTTTTCATATTCTTTCTCTTGTAGGGCATACCCAAGGGCAATGCTGGGGTGGGGAAGACTGCAGCGGTCAAGCCCGAGGAATTGTTCAATCCTTTGGCATGAGGAGGCTTTGAAGTAGTCATTTCTGTTGTTGTCCTTTGAGACGGATAATAGGCAACAATGAACAATGTGTTTCTGTTTGCAGTTTTGCTCATAATTTGACTGATGGGGCGTATATGTTGATGAGTATGGGAAACCTAAAGTCCATATACTCTTAAGCGTTTTCATATCCGGATTGAAATAACATCAACTTCGTACTTTTTTTAATTGTTCCCCCTTGGGAAAACTAATGACATTATTAACGTTTTATGATCAATTAATATTGCACGCTTTACATTATCATTCTCAATTATCATAAAGCACAATACTGATTTTCAACATCTTGGGTACTTGTGAGTTGTGACATAGTGCACCTGTGTGATTCGGTCAAACAAACATTGTCCAGAAAAATATTAGCTCAAGCAAACCAACATTCACTCCTCAACACCAAACTTTTAATAACAATACAATAAATCATTGATAAAGAAAAGTATTTCATTGAAAATATATACAAAACATCAATATAAAAATGCCCGACTTCAACTTTATAAATGACATCAAACTTTTAACAAAGATATTAAAAACCATTAATATCGAATGATCAAGTCACTGATAAGGAATTAGATTTTTGTAATAAAAAATTATTAATAATATTCAGATGCAATGTTTAATGTCAAATTGCACTAAAAACGCATTAATAAGTAACATGTGTTTGATGGCCAATGCATTCAAAAACGTTGATAATGATAGCAACTAATGATTGTTAAGTACCTTATTAGATATTATTAATATCTTATTTTTCAAACATTGATAATGCTTATACACACCTATTAATAATAACACCAACTACGTTACTAACTTAGACTGAAAGTTTAATAACCATAGTTATATCATTAAACGTAAATTCACTTTTGCTAATGTCACAAACAAACGAATTCCTAACAAGTTGACTTCTTGATAATGACATTTGACAAAGTTACAAACATAAACAAAAAAATATTAATAATTCAAATCACTAAACATAAGCAATCTTACAAATGAAATAAATTTTTGCTAATGGTTGTATTGTGCTTGAAAAAAAACATTGATAATAGCACTTCAAATGATTATAAATCATTGCGAACCAAATTGATAATACGATGTACTAGTAAATAAACTTCAAGTACCAACAAATTGAAAACACAATTTCACTTTTGCTAATGTTACAAACAAAACATAACATAAAAAGTTAATAATGTCATATAAAATTATTAAAAAAACATGTCGAACAACATTAATAATAACACAAACGAATACCTAACAACGAAAAATTCCAAACCCATGCAACGAAAAGCCCTAATGATGATTCAATTTATAAATATTGATAATGTCATTACAAAATGTTAAGATGTTAATGATGATTCAATTTACTTAATACTAATCGGAAGTTGCCAAGATGTGAGAGAGATATATATTTTAAATTTCAAATTTCCATTTTAGAAAAAGAATTTTATTAAATATTAAATAAAATTAATTTCATATTTCTTTTTAATTATAATGTAGAGAGAGGGTTATGGAGAAAATCATGGGAGGAGAGAGAAAGGGAATCATTAATTAATTATATCAATTATATTTGCATACCCCATTTACCCTTAAATACCTCTTAGCTACTAACCCTCATTAACTACCTAATCCACTACCAGCCAATAGGAAGACTTTAAGATTCTCCTTAAAAAATGAGGCTTAAGTACTTGAACTCAAGCCGTTGAATAGTTGGGATTCTATGTTATATCATCATATTAGACTAATACAACCCATTAAATTTCAAAATTTAATGTATTATGACCACTTTTAGAGGTGTGTGCACTGAATGCACCCAAAAAAGTGAGTACACCGAAGTAGCCACCATATATATATTAGATGTACTTTTTATTTATTTATAAATTAGTGGGGGAGGATAAAATAATTTATAGGTCTTCAAAACTGAAGTACTAGCAACAAATGGAGTGTCACTACTCAGTTTTACATTCAACTTTCTATAAGAAAAGAAAAGTACACTATTTTATACCCTTCCCCAGACGGCTGTAAACAACAATAAAGTTCGAAGTTCGTTACCCTTTGCCATGTTTCTGCTCCAGATCTTCTAGATCTGGTTTGGCTCTGCTCTGTTCTGGGTTCGGAGGATGCATGTTGGGTTTCTATCCAATTTTGGTGCGATCATCTTCTAGGGTGATTGCATTCACCGATTCCCCATCCGTCGTCGTTCTTCGGTGCGTCGATTGGCTGTTGTGAAGTATGAGTCTCCTCTGGTTGCTGAGGCGATTGCACCATTGTTGCAGTAGTTCTGAGATTCATCTAGGGTTGATTTTGTTTCTTTGCTTGTAGGGTGTTGGGGTTGTTGTTGGGGCTGCTGATTTGGGTTCTGGTTTTGGGTTTTTTTGGGTTGTCTCTTTAGGCGTTTGTTTTTGCAGGTCATTTGTTCTAGTCGATTCTGCTCTGCTCTTCTCTCCTTTTCTTTGTTTGTGGATGTTGTCAACCCTCAGGTGAATCTCTTCACTGCTGTTTCATGGTTCTCTCTGCTCCAGTCCCGGTTGTCGTTTTCAGCTCTGAGCAGTCCGATTCTCATCCCTGACCACCGCCGCGCAATCCCTCATAGGCGATTCACTGTGATGGGTGTCTTTGAACTACCCCCAGAAGGCGGCATATGGTGTTGCTTTGCTCAATAACCATGGTCAAGGCTGGGTTTGGGCGAGCTGAAGCTCTGCTGTATCTCACTCTGTTTGATGCGATTACATTGGCTGCTTGATCCTCTGTTTTCAGCTCTTGAAAAGGGTCCCTTGTCTTTCTGTTCATGTTGTTTCGCGTTCTGTTTGCTTTTGGGATTTTTCTCCTCATTTTCGGTGTAACTGGTTGTTTGGACCTTCTTTCTTGTAGTTGATTTTCAGGGTGTATCTCTTTCTTTTGTAACCGAGTTTCTTTCGGAGTGAAATATAAGTAACCTCTTTGTAAAAAAAAAAAAAAAAACAAGCACTCAACCTCTGATTTACAAAGGAAGTTCGCACTATACCTGGGATGATATGCCCTACTTCTCCTGTAAGCTTTGGGGTCTCAGCTGCACCAACTTCTCCACAATGTTCCATCATGGGAATAATGTCAAATACGATCACTAAAGACGGTGGTATATGTTTCTTTTTCATCAAGTTGGATGAGGGGCACTGGCAATATGCGCTAGATAAGCAGCTGAATTTTCAACCAAACGACCACAACATCCCAGTTTTTATGGACGATAAGAAAAGAAAATTGGGTGTTTTCAGCTGCCAACGAAGTGTCGAGGGGCAATATGAATGGGAACGCCATGTGTAACCGTGGAAGCTCCTATCCAACAATGTTGAGACTGTGGTGGTGGATCCTCATTATGATCGTAAATCCAAAACGGAGTATCTGGTGAAATGTGGAGGCAAAATCCTATCTATACTAATGGGTGATCTTGGCACGTCCATTCTAATTTACAGGTTTGATCAAGAGAAGAAGGGTTGGTGGAAAGTCAAGACTTGAGGATCATACATGGTGTTTGTGAGTCAAACTTCATGTTTCTCTCTCGTGGCCACAATTCCAGAAATGAGGAACAAAATATACTTCCCCAGAGTGTCGGCTAAAGGAGGCATTTTGTTCTATTCGCTAGATACGCGCAAATATCACACATTTCATCCAACTAGTGAAGTGCACCTCTGTGGTTGGATAGAGCCTATTGCAGAAACATAAGCTTTTTACGTGTTATTGCTATTCATTCGAAAGACCAGTAGCTAGCTTGCCAATCGACATGAATAGTTCGCGAATGGACGAGATCGAGCTGCGTTTTCTTTTGCTTCAATCCTCATGCAAGACGTAGAGTGAAAAGAAACAATAAAATGATTATTTGGTCATTTGGATGACTGATCTGGATGTGGGATTTGAATTCAAATATTAACATATGCATTATTTAGTTCAAAATCTATATATTTGGTTTGCCCGAAAATAATGCAGAGTTGACATGTAAGAATTGACATTTGTGATCGAATATCCGTATTTTATGAGGACTGATAAACCCATACAACACTCCTCTATCTTTTTTCTCATATTTTAAATTCAAATCATGAGATTTTTAATCCACTCATCCAAATGACTTCTATGAAAATTCTGAAAATCCCAAGTCTTAACAATCATCTACTCGTAACTTGAGTAAACACAATATCAACCCCTTTTTTTCTTCGATAAAGTATCAAACCTTCTTTACTCTTCTTTAGTTAGGCATTGATTGACACAAAGAAAATATCTTTTGACTCCCATTTTTCTCCTTTTGGTAATTAGCCTTCATTTTGGTGACTATAATTGCCTTCCAATAACAACATTCCTAAATGTATGTAGTGGAAGCTGGTATATGCACATATCTGCTACCTGTCCCAAATATGAATTGAATTATTTTTGGTCAATTAATCAAAATACTTAAATCCTTTTCCTTTCCTCTCCCCTCCAAACTCTCAGCAAGCCAGCACCCAGAAATCCTTCCTTCCTCCCTCCCTCCAACTGCTATATAATAAAGGCACATAATATTAGTCTGCACTCATTGCTCGATCTACACTCTCTACAAAACTCCATCTCCCCCTTGGCTCCCTTCTCCAGTTCAAAAACGCTTTGACAGACAAAAATGGCAGCACCGAAAACAGTATCAGAGGATGGATCATCATCATCATCATCAAGCCCTGACAACAGCCTGCAGGTTTCGCAGTACGAAGATGCTGCAACCCAATCACCATTGGCCCGACGTCTCTTCCAATCATTCCACCACCATTACCCCTCTGGCTTTCTCAGGAAGGTAAAGGACTAGTCTCTGTTATGGATTGGTTGAACTGATCATTTGGGGAAGGTCTTAAGTTTGAACAAATTTAATCTGATTTTTCGTTTGAACTCACTAACCTCGGATGGAGTTATCTCGATTTAATTATTCTTATGGTCGAGGATACTTCTGGTCGTAGATTATGTGTCTTTGAACTCAATTGATAACGATATCAAGATTTAACTACCACGACCCTTTTGTCAAACCTCATTGTTTATGTTTCTCTAGCTACTTATGATGATTTTTACCCTCGTTATTTATGAGATTCATAATTCGCATTATGGTCCTGGTGTCCTCGCTAAAGTGCCTAATTAGAATTTATTTTTATGATCATATGGGTGTTAATTATGTAACATTTTTTAAAAAAAATTGACATAGCAGGTGTTGGCAGAGGTTATAGCAACGTATCTGTTGGTATTCGTGACATGTGGGGCGGCAGCTATTAGTAACTCCGACGAGCACAGAGTGTCAAAACTGGGGGCTTCCGTCGCCGGCGGGCTAATAGTGACGGTGATGATCTATGCCGTGGGACACATCTCCGGGGCACACATGAATCCTGCCGTCACCACTGCTTTTGCCGCCGTTAGACACTTCCCCTGGAAACAGGTATTCCCAGTTAGAAATTCTCGTCGTTAATTTCGACAATGTTTACATTTTTTTTAATTTATTATTAAGCGTCATATATGCCAAGGTTAAACACCCGTTTCAGAATCCATTTTTCCTGCCGCTGTCACACCCTTAACCGCTTTTACCTATGGGCTCTTCTTTGAGATATACTCTTCTTTTGTTTTATTTCTGGTGAAAATTAATCGGAAAGTAGTATTTTTTTGTTTATAGGTATAATATGTCCCTCTACTATGTTTTATTATCAAACATGCCTCTCTATTATTTTTACATAAAATATGCCCCTGTACTTTGAAAAAATTATCAAACATGCCCTTCAGTTAAAATTTCCATTGAAAAAATCGTCAATCGTGGTTGAACCGAAATTTAGACGACCCGACATCGACAAATGGGAGGGAAAATGTCAGTTTTGTCCCCTCTTTTATGTCCCTGGGTCTTTTCAAAGTGAAATTATTTGAATGATTTGATTATACAAAAGAACAAAAAAAAATTCTAAAGTGAATTTATTAGAGATATTTTAGTCATTTGTGTCACCCAAACTAAAGTTCGGCCTTGGTTAACGGGTTTTGGATGAAAATTTTAACAAAATGGCATGTTTGATCATTTTTACAAAGTACAAGGGCATCTTTGATGTAAAAAATAGTAGAGGGGCATTTTTTATATAGCCTCATAGTAGAGGGCATTCATATTTGATCGAGAAAACAATTCGTAAAATAACAAAATCAGACTTTGGAAGTAGTTTGATTGGTCATGTTAATAATTAAGAAAACCAAATTGGTGGTAGAGGATGGAGATTGTGAAATCGCTAGTTTCATTATTGTCTTTTCTGAAGAAATGAATTATTCATCGATCAGTAGGTGGTAGCTAGAGGATGGAGATATATGGCAACCAGTAGCCCATATGGATGATGAACTGATGAAGATGATTGTAGGGCAGCTCTGAATTAACTGGTTTGTCGCCTGAATATCGATCTCGTTCATATATCCAACGAAAGAATTCCTCGTCACTGAAAACAATTATTTTCGAAATTAATATAAGGGATAATGCATTGAGATGGTGGCTCGCAGGGAAAGGATTGATGATAGATAGCTACGAGAGAAGAGAGCAATTGAGATAAAGAATTCATTGGCCGTCAACCTCAACCAACCACATGGAGAACCTGAACCAGGGACATGCTACTCCTTTCAAGTTTCCTATTGCTATGTGTTAGGTATATGAATGACTTGTCAATAGTGGAATCAAATAACCATTTTTGAAGATTAATATAAAAACATTAATAGAATTTAAAAAATAAACAATCATCATTAGTGGAATATGCAATCATAATAACGGTATGCATCTTGAAGAAGTGACTGAATAAAAAACTACATTAATTTTAGATAGACAAACTCAGAACGATCAAATCTCGCGGGGAAAAAATTAAATTAATTATGCAACCTTTGTATGCCTTGATTTAATTGTCTTTATGTTTTAGTCGCAGACAATTGTAATAAACATGAGCTTATTGGATTGAGATACTTTGTTTTTGCATATAAGATATAAAATAGTGAATAATTCAACGTTACACATAAGTTAAAAAATAGAATGAACAATAGAAGTAGGAAGTTTTTTTTTTTTGTACTTTTAAGAAAATCATGGAGCCCTGTAAATCAACTTATCCGAGGGCCGCTTTGTGTCTATGGGGATTAATTAATCGTAAAGCATTTTCCTATACATGAATTAGAATGACTGGTAATTATATATATATATATATATATATGACTCGCTAGCTATAAACGAAGTGCAGATAATTATTAACTATGGTAATTACGAACAAGGGATTGGTCTAGTGGTAATACCAGTAGTCATGAACCTGGAGGTCCCTGGTTCGAGTCCCTTTAGTAGTACCTAATAACAAAAAAAGTAACCTATATCACCCTTATCTAAAAAAAAATTATTAACTATGGTAATTACTGTTTATTATCAGGTGCCATTTTATGCAGCAGCCCAACTGGGAGGAGCAATTGCAGCCAGCTTCACCCTTCGAGTTCTGCTTCACCCCATCGAAAACGTCGGCACCACCTCCCCCGCCGGCTCAGAATTCTGGGCTCTCGTCATGGAGATCGTCGTCACTTTCTCGATGATGTTCGTCACCTCCGCCGTAGCCACCGACACCAAAGCTGTAAGAAGATCAGAGATAACAAACTCAAAAGCAAAACTACTCTAACACAATAATATTAACAATAACCGTCATATAAATTGTAATGAGTAAAATAAATCGGGGCTGGTTAGCTGGTTCGGTTAGGTGATTGCATAGAAAACTCGTAACCGAGTTGTTAACATAATGATTATTGGTTAACGGATGAACAAACTTTAAAATTTTGACGATCCATACTCGTAACCGAAATACAACTCAGTTCAAAATTGAAAACCGATCATTTAATCGGTTCAGTTAACCAAACAACCTCCAAAAACCGGTTAGAATCCCATAATAATTCTACCTTGACCATCTTCGCATTCTTATTACTTACTGTATAGTATATTCTAACCCTGCAGGTTGGAGAGCTGGCAGGCATGGCAGTTGGTTCAGCTGTATGCATAACGTCAATCTTGGCCGGGTAAGTACCATTTTTTTTTTTAAACCAACTATTTTCCATATACAACCAGAAACGTACATTTGCATTCTAACCAGTGGTCTAGCCGATACTCAGACCGGTTTCAGGAGGGTCGATGAACCCGGCAAGGACACTCGGACCGGCTATTGCTAGCTCACACTATAAAGGGTTATGGGTGTACCTGGTTGGACCCATAACCGGAACCATGCTGGGAGCTTTGTCGTACAATTGCATCAAAGTGGCCGATACGGACCCCTCAGCCGCCATTTCTCCACGGTCCTTCTCGTTGAAGCTTAGAAGAATGAAGAACAGCAATGTTGCTCCAAACAGAGACCCTTTTGAGGATCTCTAAACCGATTAGATTAGAGGTGCCATGATCACTCTCCTCCTGTAAAGAAAAGAAAAGAAAAGCAAAATGTTCTAAGTTTGGGGTGTATTTCTGTCATTTGTCAAGTGTAAGGGTCATTGGGTTGAATATTAAGAGTTAGGGATACTAAATTGTAAAATATGTGAGAGACAAGACAAATGGGTTTGTGCATCAACAGGGGGCTAGTGTTTACTCTCTTGTAAAATATTTTGTGATTTGGACCTTGTAGAGTATTTGGGTTGTTTGTTAGCTGTATTGGGTAACCGTCAAAAGTTTGGGTACTTCATTATGAATTGCAAAAATGTGAATTAGCAACAGTATATGAACCATTAGATAATTTCTTGGCGAAGTAAAAGTATAATAAAAGTACCACATCATCCAAAGTTAACGGAGTTGGACAGAGAGTGATCAAACATGAACGGTTTCACTAAACTAAAGTACCGCCAATGAATTTAAATATTTTGAGTGACCAAACTTGAACAGTTTTTGTAATTTCAATGACCAACCATGCAATTAACCCCAACAGTATTATAAATATCTGGAAGTTTAAGTACTAAAGCTTTAAGATACTAAATAGTAAATACTTCAGTACAAGATAGTAATTTAGGAGAAGATTCACAGTATGTAGAGCCGACAATGATTCAAGAAGAGACTATGCTCTATGAAGTCATTGTCAGGTGAATCACAACAATACATAAACTTCGAAAATGCTCAAACAGTATTGGCAACAAATATCGAGTTGATATCATTTGCATTCTAAGAGTTACATTTGTTACTTACTACACACACAAAAATTAACGATGATTGATCAAACCGCCTTTTCGCTCACTGCAAAACTCTTGGGATTTATGGTGATGCTTTTAGTGCAGTTATCGGTTTTGTAGATCCCCACCAGCCGATCTGCCAACTCAAACATGTTGTTCCTAAGACTGCATAATACAAGGCAATAGAAGATTGGTCCGAATATTGTAAGTCAGTAGCTTGAGCATCAAGGTTCTAAGCCAGTAATGGCCAGGTGACAGAATAAAGGAAAACACACTAACATTGAAGTCTAAAACAAACCAAACTGAACATGGTTAACCATACCTTATGATGACGAATTGAGCATCCTTCGTGCGGTCCTTAACGTAGTGTCCCACAATCGAGACATTCTTGAAGTCTGACCAAGTGAGTGAAACAACCAAGTTAAAAAAGGAGAATGGATGTGAGAAACCCATGAAAAAGGCTGTTCAAGAAGGGACTGTGATCGTTAGGTTACCTAACGCAGCATCGATCTCATCCATCACATACAGTGGTGTAGGCTTGTAATGGTGGAGTGCAAAAACCAGAGCTAGGGAACTCAGAGTCTGGAGATCAAAGATGGTAGATGTAAGTATATTCCGCCGCCGGGAAAAGGCTGTTACTATTTTGACTCAACCGAGGTCGGTTCAAGAATCTAGTTGCCAGATAATGGTAAAAACTTGTATGGAGATTAACCTTTTCGCCACCGGACAAGTTAGCAATGTTCTTCCAGCTTTTCTTTGGCGGCCTGACACTGAATACAACACCTTCAGAGAACGGATCCAAAGAATCCACTAGCTCTAGCTCTGCATCCCCTCCAAGTGTAATCATCTAAGTCGAAGGTAATCAACAGAGTCAGACATAACGAAGTAACAGCAGTAATAATTTGGAGTAAGTTGGCTGAGGGCAAAATGCTAATGGAAAAGACTGTTTTAGTAAATTTTTGTTAAAGGGAGTTAAGGATATCTCAAGAGAGGAACCTGATACATCTCCTTCAGCTTTAATGATATGGCATTGAACCCAGCCATGAACTCATCCAGCCTGCTTTCAAAAAAACAAACTGGCTTAGCTGCTGAATCAAAATGAAATAAATTACATTCCACAAACATGCGTATACAATATAACTAAGCAATGCCTTACCTTTTCTTTCTCAATTCGTCATGTTGCCTTTTGACATCATCACGGTTCTGAGTGACCGCATTGAGCTCCTCAACTCTTTCATTATAGAGAGCAACCTTTCCTCGGTACCTGTCAGAACCCAGGATATTAATAGACGGCCGGCCAACTTTGAAATTTAATTATAATGGGTATTGTCAGAAACATCAGTAGTGAAAGAACATAAGGAAACCATACTCTGTGATTGAATCAAGATTAGGATTCATCTCTTTCAATTGTGCTTGCAACAACGTAACCATTTCAAGGGCCTTCTTCAGCTCACAATCCTCAGAAAGATTTCCATCAGCTAAGGTTGCTTGAAGCTTTTCAGGATCCACGAGATCTTTCTGGATTCTGCAACAAGAGAGCACTTACACACTTAATTCAAGATCATAAAAGCAAACTAAAGGTTCACCACTTAAACATTAAAATAACATACTGCTCCATTTGGAGGGTAATTGAATTTTGCAAGTCATCAAGCTTTTTCTTATAGCCTTTGCCTCTCATTTCCAACTCCTTGTATCCTTTCTTCATATCTTTTAGCTTGAAGTCGGCATCAACCTGACCACAGGATGTACCAGTCAACCATTAATTCCATTCAAATTCCAAATTAAATTAAAATGGTCAAAAGCAGTTACCTCTGAAGCACGCAACTCATCGACCACCTTCTTCAATTGCTCATAATCATCTCTAGCTTTATCCAAGACTCCCTTATGTTCGTCAATTAACTGCCATAGACGTAAAGAAACCACACTTAAGCCACAACCAGGCTCTGGATATCTATCAGCCAAATTGACTACAACCGTTTAGCTACCAGACCTCCTGTGTTTTCTTGTACTTCTCTTGAACATCAAAGGCTTTCACTTCTATATCTTTGAAAACACCTTTCAGTTTTTCCTTTTCATCTTCTAGTCGTTCCTTTTCCTTCCTTGAATCTTCAATCCCCTTCGTCAGCTTCTTTATCAGTTTCTGACTTGTCTCTATTTGCACTTTATGGCGATTGATCTCAGAGCAACTTTTATCGATATCCTGATAAATAGAAAGAGAATTCATCAGCAATTGCACGAGACTCTTGAGAAATTTCAATATTTCAAGGTGAATGATTACTTACAGAATGAATACTTTGGACCTTTATCTTCTGATCCTGCAGCAATTGACCTCCAGCATTTTCTATCTTGTTCTGAAGGGCCAGAGCCTGGAACAAGAAAAGAGAAGCAATGAGTTATCCGCTTTCTCATTTCAGTAAAACTGTAATTGGACTAAGAAAACCATGCAAAACATATTTGCAAACCTTCTCCTTTAGCTCCTTAGACCCTTGGACAAGTCTATCAATCTCTTTCTCCTGGGCAGATATAATTTTCTCAAGCTCTAGTAGCCTATCAAGCTCGTCTTTCTTTGGATGTGACGCAGCCTCCAAAGATGCAAGCTGCTTCTTAAGATAACTATGTTCCGATTTCAAACTATCAATCTGCAGAAAGAAAAGTTCTTACAAAATTGCTTCAATTTTCTTAGCAACTCATACAAAACAAAGACTCTGATAGACACAAGATTACCTCTTTCTGGCTTTTAGCCAATTCCATCTCCAAATGTGAAACCTGCTTCTCGGCAGCTTGGTAATTTCTCACTGCATCAGTAATTTTTTTGCCAACAGCATTCAATTTCTCAACCAATGTAAAGAGTTCTTTCTCTTCATTCTGCACAGCTTCTGCAGACACACTAGCAGCTCGAATCGATGTACCCATCTTCCCACCCCTGGGTTTACTTCCTCCACCACTCATTGTACCAGCTGTTTCAAAAAGTGCACCATCTAGCGTAACCACACGTCGGAAGTCTGTGTTTCCATACGCAATTCTTGTTGCCTTATATGTTCAAAACAGAAGTCAGTCTAGCTTTAATTTCAATTCATTACCAGCATTGATAATAAATCCCAATTACATGAAACGTACCAAACTATTCTTGAGATGAATATACAAGTAAACCGTACACAACACCATGGAGAATTCACGAAACATTTTACAGCTTAAGTCGTTTGATAATACAAAAGTCAATAAACTAAAGTGGCAACATGATCAATCACATGGAAATTCACCATTTAGGCAGCTAAGATATACTCAAAGGCGCTACAGTTCTGACAAATGGAATTCCATCTGCCTTATTTGCACTTTAGTTTTGGGCTTTTGGGGCAGGTCATACCAAATCAAACTGGAAAATATCATACATAAGAGGTCTGAACTTAAATCTACCAGTTGAACCATGGAACCAAATTTGTTTAATCTTTATCAGTTGTTAGAATATATAGCAAGAGATAGAATAGGAAACTAGATGATACCTGATCCAGATCCTTTGCTACGACAGTGTTTCGCAGTACAGCATAGAAAGCAACTTTCATTCTCTTATCCTGAACCCTCACCAGATCAAAAAGACGTGGAACACTCTCAGGAGTGCTCACAGTCTCTTTCATTTTTGGCAGTAAGTCAACTTGTTTTTCCTGCATGAGGGAAGAGTAAAATAGCAGCTCAGAGTTCCTAAAACATAGGCCCATATCCACCAGATCATACCCACATAAAAGTCTCATCCCCAATGAACTGTATGACATTAATTTCTCCAATTGATAATCAAAATCGAAAAAACCTTATTTCACATTAGAAGACATAATACAACCCCTCCAAATAATCAAAACCCCAATAGTAAATCTTGTGAAGACCAAAATGGCAAAGTGGAACAGCCACTATCAAAAAAAGCATATCCTTTGGCATTACAATACTGTTCCCACACCAACTTCCTAACTAGTGAGTCATTTTTTGGCATTAACATAAATAGCGCAACCAGCAAAAAAAGAGAATCATACCAGTATCATGAAAGTTGCGATTCCAAGGTTCTCGCGTCTGAGCAATTCAACACATGCTTGGGCTGCCGCAGTCGTCTCAACAACAATATAATCAAGTCCACCACAGGCCGTCGATATGGCAACATCATACTTTGCTGCAATGATATAAGCACCTAAGTTATAGGAAAAGGCTCCTGGGACTTTGACCATAATGATCATAAGTAACATGCAAAAGCCTTGAACTGCTTAAGAAAGAAGTTTACAATAACAGACACCATTCACAAGACGGGTTGGTCTATTGAACCTCATAAACAATTCATTGCTCAATTTTATAACGACAAACTCTGCTTCGAGCAGTCTGATAAACAATAGCCAGCAGCGAAGCGACTTTACCAGGGATTCAAATTATGTAAATATAAAAGATCAGATCTCATTCTTGCAAATGCACGATACTCAGTAGAAGGTTCAAATAACAGGAAAAAGTAAAACTCACCGTCAATGGCACCTAAATCCCCCATTCTTCCGTATATCCCTTCTATGCTTTTAGATTCTTTGGCAAGTAAAATTGCTTTCAGGACAGACCCCTGACTCTTCTCCGAATCAATGATTGACTTAAGTTCTGCAACCTTCTGCCTTGCCGCTTGTTCAAGTGGAATCAGTCTTTCTTGTTCTTTGATGCACTCCTGCAAAGGGTGGAAGATTAGCACCAGGTTTCTACTCAAGACAAGAAATTGTTGGAACTAAGTGAAGATAATAATCAAAAGCACAAACTTGCTCGGTTTTATGAGATTCTAATGCTTCAAGCTTCTTTTGTTCAATTTCACTTTGCAACTTCTCAATGTTCGCTGTTTTTGCTCCAATTATTCCTTGTATGCTGTCCATCTGCTTACGTGCATTCTCAAAAGCTGCATGACCAGCTTCATGCTGCAATAATTTACAGAGGAATATAAAAATTATATCACATGCTTGCAAACGGAACAACTGATAAGAAAAAAATAATGGTCAATTTGTAGAGTTTGAATAATCTGTTTGACCAAGAGAGTCCATCTTAATTCAACGCATTCTGGCTGGTCATTTTGTTTTTTTGGATAATGGCTGCTGCTCATATTGTTAAACAACAATCTGACAGTTCTCTTCAAATACACAGTTTCTACCAGTAAACCTATCACAGAAAAATGGCATGCGGGAACCTAATGCAGAAATCAAGGGACAACTGAGCAAATAAACAAGATTCGCATACTGACTCGAAAACCAAGACAAATTACCTTATCAGTCAAAAGCTTGCTCTCTGTGCGAGCAACTTCAAGTTTCCCTTTGTGATCAATAAGTTGCTTCTCCCAAGGTTCTAATTCAGCACGAACTTTTGCCAGCTCGGAGCGATACGCCTCCGCTTCACCTATTTACATTAAATAACAAATCAAAGACCCAGAAAATAAAATATATATCCAAGCTCCAGGCGTTAACTCAGTCTGTAACTGTAACTATCTTCATGCTTTAACAAATAATTTACCATTCTGGTGTTGCCAAAATAAGCCAGCTTGAATATGAGAACAAAGGAATGGATACAACAGAAGATAAAGAACATCCTAATTTTTAGCATCTCTACTTGACATGATCCGAAAATGCGATACAAGGGACAAAGTTAACTATAGCATGCCCTTTTTCCTAATGAGTGAACTCCCAAGAAAGCATCCAATATATCATTGCAGGAACAATGCTTGAATGTAGAAGTTACTTTTCATCAGATAATGGAGGTAGAGAACAACCTTTAGAACGCTCTTTTATGTCTTCCAAAATTTTCTCCTCTAGTGACAATAGATTTTGCAGCTTTGGGACTTTATCTTCAAGTTGTGGGATCAAATTTGTTGATTCCTCGCACTCCTTTGTTAAGTCATTGATTTTTGAGGAGTCCTGTTAAGGGATGAGAAGTTAGGAAGTGCACTCTTCCTCTTGAATTTAAACACATGTGTACCTTTTCAAGTTTGTCATCAAGCTTCTTGATCTTCTGCTTCCTGTGTTTCAAATCCTCCCGGTACTTAACATCCTGTCTTTCAAACTCCCGAAATTTATCTTTGCAGGTTTTGAGATCATCGTTTAGTTCCTACAGCATGAGAAAGTTTTAGCAACATTCCCAGAAATATACAATAAATAGCACTGAAAATAGGATAACAGATTGACATAAGTTTTACATCATTGACAACAAACGGGATCACTACTTATTCTTCTGGTATTTGTGCAAAGCTGTAACGATGGCTTATACAAACCTCATGTCTTTTCATGTACTTATTGTGCACAGTTTCAAGCTCCTTCAGTGTCTTGTTATTCTCCTGAATCTTCCCTCTAGACAGAATTGGCGGAGAAATGTTAAGCTCCATGTGCTATCTTTGGTTCAAATTGTGAAAAATGCATAAAAAGTTTGTCAATGCATCAACCTGTCAGACTTCAGGCTTTCTTCGAGGGTAGATATGTTAGTTTCTACTTCCCCCATTTTGGTAGAGGTATCTTCAAAAGCCAATTTAGAGGCTTTCTCTTGCCACTTCAGGTAGGATAACTCTTTAAGCATGTAGTTCTCTGCTTCATTCTTCACATCCTATTCAACAGAAGACAAATAGCTTAGTGATTGAATGTACTTGAGCAAACCAAAGAACAGTCGCAGGTACACACCTCCAAACCATCCCTTTCTTTCTCAGCTAGCTTTACCATTTGAACTACTCCAGATCTTTTATCATTAAGAACCTCCAGCCTACAGCCCAAATTTGAATACTTGAGAAGTCAGAAAGTAATTGCCACCACCTAATAACTTTCACTGGACCATCCACAAAATATTAGTATATTACAGACAACCGAATTGTTGCAGGATTTCAATCCTCAAACTATATTCTCACGAACAATATCAACAGAATATACGATTTCTTAATAATTACAATAGCTATACAATAGTGGCGTAACAAATGGTCTCATGTATATACATTTGAGTTTCTTATTTCAAACAATGCAATTAGATGTTTCGCTCCTGATCTTTCTGGAAGCAGTAGTATACAATAAGTTATACCTAGGTGCCTGTCAGTGGAACTCCCAACTCGCAATAACCAGAATGCAGATACTATTACGATCACAAATTATCAAATGAAGGTAGTAGTATCATAGATGGGGGGGTGGGGTGGGGGAATTAGAATTCGCTGTCATTATCAAAAGGTACTCACTCCTTGGAAGCCTCGTCTATTCTCTCTACATATTTGTTAGTCCCAATTATGTCCTCCAAGTATTCAAGAAAACCTTCATCATGAGGACCTTGAGCTTTTGGCTTCATCAATGAGATCTGTTCGACTTCACCCTAATCATGAAAAGAGAAAGTCTCCTTTAGAAATGTAAGAAAACAAACTCCTAGACTAAAACATGCCAGAAAGTAGGAAAACAAACCTGAAGAATCAAAAACCGGTTGTTATCAAGGTCCACTCCCTTTTCTTTAAGTTTTTTTGTGACTTCTGTAAAATTACTGGAGCGATCATTAATATAATACTTCGATGAGTTATCCCGAAATGCCACTCTCTTAATCACAAAATCACTTCCTGGAACAGCCTCGTAGTTACCATCATCCTGTAAAGAATATATATTAGGCCATCAATCCTTGTAAATGAAAGGAAATCGGAACAGCAAATATATGCTTCCTATTAACTCATACAAAAAACCATAGAACAAGAGTAAAAAGAAAGGAAGATTACCAGGTCTATGATCTCCTGGAAGTGCACAGAAACAGCAGCACTGCCCAAATTCTGGTGATTCGTAGAGTTGTGAATAAGCTCCGAAACTTTGTTAAGCCTCATCTAGACAACTCAATTTCAACGCAAGAAGATGGTTAGCCCCAAATCAACCCCCCCCCCCCCCCCCCCCCCCCCCCCCCCCCCCCCCCCCCCCCCCCAACACACACACACACACACACCTGAATCTTCCAAGTCAAATGCACATACAGTTTCATAGTCCCAAAAATGTGCTAATTCGTGCAGTCTCAATCATTGGACAAGAAAGAATTTGAAGGTACCTGCTTTGCTCGCTTCCCAAACACGAACAACATTGCATCTATCACGTTGCTCTTCCCACTTCCGTTAGGTCCGACCACTGCAGAGAAACTCTGGAGTTGACAAATTTAGCCACCAAGCCGGAACAAAACCGAACACAGGAGAAACCTTTTCAACATTAGAAAGACACAAAATTTTAAAAAAACACTAATTACACAGCATTTTTTCATTCCCTCAAGTAAACCGATAAGAACTTCACTCAGTGGAAGTTGACAACTCAGAATTGCAATCGACTGATTAACTCATACAATTAAGCAACCCACCAACTGGAGTAGCCAGTAACCAAGTTTAATTTACAGCTGGGCCGTACGAGTAACCCAGAACCCTAGAGTTCCCAAAATTATGCTGGCAAAAGGAAGAACGACGAGTAGGAATTCCACCCAAAACCCTAACCTTATGGAAAGGACCGACGCGCTGTTCACCGGCATAAGACTTGAAATTCATCATCACCATTTCCGTAATGAACAGCCTGGGACCTCTTGAAGATCCTGCGGATCGAGAGGACTCGGGCTCGGTGGCCGTGAACTCATCCCCAGTTTCCATATCCATTAAAAGACAAAAGGCACTTCCAACTCAAGAGAACTTCTTGCTAGCTTTATTTCAGTTCAACTTCACGGGCACATAAATCTCCGAACTGATTCTCGATCTTGCAACTTCAATTTATCTTCTCCTCCTTAGTTCCTTCCGGCCGCTGCAGATTGCTCTCGTCAATCTGCTCCCCTACGCCGCCGCGCTTGCCCCGTCAACGTTAAACACTAGTTGATCTCGTTCTCGCTCCCCTTGGCCCGCTTCTGCGATGGATCTATATCCCGTTCAATGGAATGCTCTCCCACACGACACGGGTGCTTTTCTTCTGTGAAGGGAGAAGTAGGAGAAAGGAATTCTTGCCAGAGAGACGATTTCTCTTACTTCTATTTTCTTCCTTTTTGTTTTGTTGGTAAGAGGGGGGAAATTCTGGAGGCTTGGCGGGAACATGAAACTGGCAAGAGGTTTCAACTTTAAAAAAGTTTTGGATAGAGATGTGGACCAAGGCCCAATCTGAGGGTTCGTTGAACTTTCAGTCCATGGATTAGCCAAGGACACAGATGTCTGGGTCAATGATGGTGCCCGGCCCCTATTGATGGTGGTGGCCTCGGACTGTTGTGTTTTGTAGTGCTAGTTTGGAGATTGAGATTGTTTTGTTGTGATTACAACTCTACAATCATATTAGTTTATAACCCGGTCGGAATGTTTATATTTGATTGTTTATATTTTTATGTTATTTTTAAGTCTATTAACTCTTTTAATTTTATTGATAATCATTCGATCGAGATGATACATAAAGAAGGGTTATAGGTATAATATGCCCCTCTACTATGACGTTTTATCAAACATGCTCATCTACTATTTTTTACATCAAACATGCCCCTGTACTTTGGAAAACTTATCAGACATGTCCTTTTGTTAAAATTTCCATCCAAAACCCGTTAACCAAAACCGAACTTTGGTTTGGGCGACCCAAATATCTAAAATATCCCTAATAATTTCACTATAGAGTTTTTTTTTTTTTTGCTCTTTTGTATAGCCAAATAATTCTAATAATTTCACTTTGACGAGACATAGAGAAATAAAACAAGGGTCAAAACTGACATTTCCCCTCCCATTTATCGATGTCATGTCGTCTAAATCTCGGTTCAACCATGATTGACGATTTTTTCAATGGAAATTTCAACTGAAGAGCATGTTTGATAGTTTTTCCAAATTACAGGGGCATGTTTGATATAAAAAATAGTAGAGGGGTATGTTTGATAAAACGTCATAGTTTAGGGGCATATTATACCTATAACCCCATAAAGAAATAATATGTAGGTCGAACATTTGGAGAAATATCATAATCATTTAAGAATATAAAATATAAAAATGTATTATTGATTCCATTTTCATAATGCTAATTAAGACCCCGTTAAAATGTTATTGGTTAGTTGATGGTCAAGAAAGATAGAGTATAAAAACTCACTGAAATTCCCACACGACCCATAGATAGTTTGAAACTAAATCTTAAACCTCAAAATCCTATATAAAGGGTTCAATGCTCTTCTTTTATAAACAATATGTCACTAATCAAAAAGAAATGGAGAGTTGTTGATTCAAGACATCTATATACTAGCTTTTTACCCGGCCCGTTGGCCGGTGAGTTTAATTTAACATTTACATTAATCAATTTATCTATATGTTTAAACTATTTTGGATCTTCTAAATTTTTTACATTTGCATTCATTGGTGAGTATGTGGTGCGTCTATAAATTAAAAATTCTCAATACTTACCACATTCACTTATGATGCTTCGATTCACTGATCATAAATCATGTCACAAAGATATATCACGTCCCATATAGAATCTTATGTCAAGATTTGTCAATAACGATACTCAATTTTTTTTTTGTCTTATACAATATATGTCATTCAATGAATCTCGAGTTTGGACGAACTCTCAACCAATGATGTTGCTCAGATGACGACAACTTAGTTAGAATTTTTTTATGAAGTTACTTCAATATTACATAAATTTGGTCATCCCAATTAAAAATTTATTGTTCTAGTGTAAGATCATATTTGTCTATCAAGACACTCAACTTAATATCTTATACAATATGTAGCAATTGTTAATTCGTGAAGTTTAATATAGACTCACCCTCAACTCATGGATATTGTTTAGATGTTTGTTTAGAATCTCGGTCAAAGATACGCACACACTATCGAGGGTTCAAATCTTAACATGGTCCATTGTTGAATAATTTTCTAACTTATCAAATATGCATTTGCTCAAATTTATTCATCTTTGGTGTTTGTTTTGAGATAAAAGTTCCATTACTTATACTAATATCTTCATTTTGTTGGTGTAATGCCACATCTATTGTCAATATCTAAGCATGATACTATACTCTAAGTAAGAAAATGCTATATGGACCACGAATTAACCAGATTTGTGGGCATGATACTATACCCTAACCCTTAATGAGTGAACCCTATGTCTTAGTTATCTAAATCATAGAGCTTAACCCCTAAGATTGTGCATGTAATTTGTTGCATAGATTTAGCTACATTAATTTGTTGCATGTAATTTTTTGCTATTTAATAATTGTTTTTGTTGATAAATACAAACATTAGAAAGAGATAGTGTTTCATAAACAAAACATAAAATTATATAGTTGGTTTTTCAAATTCAATTGATTATTAAATGTTGATTATCAAAAATTTCTTCATTATATTTTGTTTATAAAAAATGTTATTACTTATCTATGTGTTTAATTTATTTTGTATCAGAATATAACCTATATTAAGTTCTAATAAAAATAAAAAGAAAAATTAATTGATCACATTTAATCAAATATATTTTTTGAAGCATTATAATATATGTCACTCTCGAAACATAAGTATACTACTGCTACACACATATATCAAAAAATACAATTATTGAATAAAAATAAAAAGAAAAATTAATTGATCACATTTAATCAAATATATTTTTTGAAGCATTATAATATATGTCACTCTCGAAACATAAGTATACTACTGTTACATAAAAGATCATTAAAATAAAAAGAAAATATTAAAAAAAGATAGATATAGCTACATTAATTGATCATTAACTAACTTTTTTGTTTGTAAAAAAAGTATCCACCATGGCACCTTGTAAATTCTCCAAATGCTTATGTGGCAACAAACTACTTTTGAATTGCTATAATATTATGTATAGATAGATAGATAGATAGATAGATAGATAGACTAAGAACTCAACTAAGAGGGGGTCATCACAACTTGAGAGCATACGAAAAAATCAGGGTTACCTCCAATATACGAATAGACTCGATCAAAGTAATAAGGCGCAAAATTAGACACTCCTTATCTATAAGTTCCAGTAGGTTGAATAAAGAAGCGACCTACTTCAAACAATCAATCAATAATTCCTCGTTTTAATATAGAAATAGGTTGTGACAGTTGCAAAAACCATAAACCTAAAGATTAAATAGCCACTACTCTCCATTGTACAACCAAATTTCTATCTCAAGAGGCATATGATTCAACCAAAAAATCAATTTCTAATCCTCCTTCTGCAACTCCAGTTATTGATGAACTCCATTCTATTCGCCATGGATTGATATCGGAGTTGAAATCCTCTACTCGCCCAACTTAAATCTCCAACAATAAAATCGTAGTGCCAAGAGATACCTCAAGATTTATTTTCAATGATAGTCTTGTACTGGGAAGTGAAAGGGGCGCAAACTACTTCACGATGGATGAAATTTCGGAGAAAGTTAGAAAGAACAAAGAACAAAGATAAAAAAGCACAAAATTTAAATTTAAATTAAAAATGCAAGGATACAGCACGTAGTAACATAATTTGTTTCTTCCATGTTAGCCAATTACCAATTTAACTTTAGCAAAATTAAGGAGAGAGCATGAATTTAAAATTGAGAAAATTACATGAAACTATACTATGAAAATAGAAGTATCAAACTCGATAAAAATACATACGGTAGACTTAGTGGGCTTGCTAATCATGATGGAAAAGTCATCTGATTTTCAGAGTTTAACTTTGTCTATGTTTTGTATCAAAAAGGATGCGATAAATTTGTTTAGTGTAACTGGTTGTGATTGTTGTCTTTGTTTGAAGAGACGCGGGTTCAAACCTTGATATTTCTATTTTTATATGAAATAAATCATTAATGTGTAAAGACAAAAATGGTCTTCCTACTTTCACCCTCGTTGCAGAAAATTTGAAATGGAGAAAAGTATACCATATTCTACCATATATTAATGGAGGATATTGTTTGAAATGTATCTTTTTTTTATTTTTTAGCAGAAACAATATATAGATTGTATTATGAATCAATATTATAGTTATACTTATATCCATGCAACTTTTCTACCAATCATGACACCAGTAATAGAAACTTGGATGGAGATGGTATAGAAAGCTATCACCTGCACTGCACAAAACCTCTATGTCATTCTCTAATCCATATTTTATTTAAATCTATCACGATGTTCTAACTTCTAACCATTGGCAATCTCATGATTCTTACCTCCACTCCACATAAACTTCTGCAACGCTAGCTGCTGTCAAAAAAGAAATTACTGTCCAACCAAAAAAAAAATTACTGCAAAGTAGGGTAGACGTGCTGAGGGCCCAAACGGGAGCTACCTTGTTGTGCCACATAATACAACTGTCACTTCTTCGGAGCTAAGCTGGGAGGGAGGGACACATGCCTCTACACTTCTATATAAAGGACACAACAATGTGTTACAAACCACTCAACATTCAAACATCATATTCAACAACAAACCATCATGAGCTCCAACGACAACAATACCGCCTACAACACCGCCTCCAACAACAACAATGCTGACCAGCATTGTTGTTGTTGGAGGCGGTATTGTTGTCGTTGGAGCTCATGATGGTTTGTTGTTGAATATGATGTTTGAACTCTGTTTGGAAACAAGAGGGGTGCAAATTGTAGGGGGGGTGCAAGTTGAGGGGTAAATTGCTGGGGGGATGCAAATTGCTGGGGTTGTAAGTGGAGGGGTAAATTGTTGTTTGGATGAAAAAAAAGGGGGGTGCAAATAGAGTGAAAAGTAACTAATTATATTATTTTAAAGTAGATCTTAAAATTTTAAAATAGATTTTAAGATTTTAAAATATTATCATAAAATAATAAAATAAATATTAATGTATAATAATAAATATACTTTACTAAAAATAGTTATTATATAATAATGCTCAAATAATAATTAATTATAACAATTGTAATAATCATTGATCGAGCGATCTCAAAACTCGAAGCTGAACTCGTAACTAATCATCCTATATAGGGTTTTCGTGTCTAGTTTAATCTTAAATTGTCAAACTTAGTCAAACACGTTCGAATTTGTAAGTTTTAACTATTTAGTCAAATAAACTGAGTTAACCAAACAATTTCTCTCTATCTTTTCCACAAACACCTCGTATCTCTAATTTTCAATACAAATTCGATTCAACCAAGAGATCTAGATTTTACTTGACAAACATTGATAAACTTGTTTCCAGAGTCAAATGGTCAACCCCGAATAATGTTTACATTAATGATATTTATAAAAAGAAGACATTGATAATATTAATTATTATTATATAATTATATATAACACAATTAGAAAAATAAAATTCCATAATTCCCACCTCCCCCTCTCTTCCTTCCTTTCCTTGCACCCCAATTCGGGGGTAAGCCGAAACAGTAAATTTGCACTCCCATTTTGCACCCCCCTACTGTTCCAAATTAACCAAACATGTGCAAATGTGTTGGAAACTGTGTTTACCACTCACATTTGCACCCTCGTCCCATTTACCCCTCTTCCCAAACAGAGTGTGAATGTTGAGTGGTTTTTAACATGGCTTGTTGTTGAATATGGTGTTTGAATGTTGAGTGGTTTGTAACACATCATGTTGTTGAATATGGTGTTTGAATGTTGAGTGGTTTGTAACACATCACGAGTTCCAACGACAACTATACCGCTTCCAACACCGCCTCCAACAACAACAATGCTGATGGGCAGAATGTCGAGGCCCATAATCCGCCCCCACAGCAGCCTCCCCCGAGGCCTGAGGATCAGAATGTCGAGGCCTCCACAGCAGCCTAGCCTCCACCACGGATGCCTCAACTAGTCAAATGCTTCAATTGCAACGATGTGTTCATCCAGGGGGGCAAGCATTCCTCCCATTTCAAGGAGCCTAAAAGCAGCCGCAACCCGCAAGAGCCCACCCCAGGCAGGGAACAACAAGAGGAATCCACGCTAGGGAGGGGCTGGCATCGAATGTTATTCTACTCCAAGGGCCGCATTGTTGGTTTCTGCTAGTTTGTGTACTTGTTATTTAATTTATGCTGGACTTTTATTTCGTATTCTCTGCTTATTGGATTTTATGAGATTCTGATGCTTCAAGCTTCTTTTGTTCAATTTCACTTTGCAACTTCTCAATGTTCGCTGGGGGGGGGGGTTGCAAATTGCCGGGGTTGTAAGTGGAGGGGTAAATTGTTGTTTGGATGAAAAAGTAGGGGGTGCAAATAGAGTGAAAAGTAAGTAATTATATTATTTTAAAGTAGATTTTAAAATTTTAAAATAGATTTTAAGATTATAAAATAGATTTTAAGATTTTAAAATATTATCATAAAATAATAAAATAAATATTACTGTATAATAATAAATATACTTTACTAAAAATAGTTATTATATATGGTGTTTGAATGTTGAGTAGTTTGTAACACAGTGTGAATGTTGAGTGCTTTGTAACATGGCTTGTTGTTGAATATGGTGTTTGAATGTTGAGTGGTTTGTAACACATCATGTTGTTGAATATGGTGTTTGAATGTTGAGTGGTTTGTAACACATCACGAGTTCCAACGACAACTATACCGCCTCCAACACCGCCTCCAACAACAACAATGCTGATGGGCAGAATGTCGAGGCCCATAATCCGCCCCCACAGCAGCGTCCCCCGAGGCCTGAGGATCAGAATGTCGAGGCCTCCACAGCAGCCTAGCCTCCACCACGGATGCCTCAACTAGTCAAATGCTTCAATTGCAACGATGTGTTCATCCAGGGGGGCAAGCATTCCTCCCATTTCAAGGAGCCTAAAAGCAGCCGCAACCCGCAAGAGCCCACCCCAGGCAGGGAACAATAAGAGGAATCCACGCTAGGGAGGGGCTGGCATCGAATGTTATTCTACTCTAAGGGCCGCATTGTTGGTTTCTGCTAGTTTGTGTACTTGTTATTTAATTTCTGCTGGACTTTTATTTCGTATTCTATGCTTATTGGATTTTATGAGATTCTGATGCTTCAAGCTTCTTTTGTTCAATTTCACTTCGCTGGGGGGGGGGGGGGGGGTTGCAAATTGCTGGGGTTGTAAGTGGAGGGGTAAATTGTTGTTTGGATGAAAAAGTAGGGGGTGCAAATAGAGTGAAAAGTAAGTAATTATATTATTTTAAAGTAGATTTTAAAATTTTAAAATAGATTTTAAGATTATAAAATTGATTTTAAGATTTTAAAATATTATCATAAAATAATAAAATAAATATTACTGTATAATAATAAATATACTTTACTAAAAATAGTTATTATATATGGTGTTTGAATGTTGAGTGGTTTGTAACACAGTTTGAATGTTGAGTGCTTTGTAACATGGCTTGTTGTTGAATATGGTGTTTGAATGTTGAGTGGTTTGTAACACATTATGTTGTTGAATATGGTGTTTGAATGTTGAGTGGTTTGTAACACATCACGAGTTCCAACGACAACTATACCGCCTCCAACACCGCCTCCAACAACAACAATGCTGATGGGCAGAATGTCGAGGCCCATAATCCGCCCCCACAGCAGTCTCCCCCGAGGCCTGAGGATCAGAATGTCGAGGCCTCCACAGCAGCCTAGCCTCAACTAGTCAAATGCTTCAATTGCAACGATGTGTTCATCCAGGGGGGCAAGCATTCCTCCCATTTCAAGGAGCCTAAAAGCAGCCGCAACCCGCAAGAGCCCACCCCAGGCAGGGAACAACAAGAGGAATCCACGCTAGGGAGGGGCTGGCATCGAATGTTATTCTACTCTAAGGGCCGCATTGTTGGTTTCTTCTAGTTTGTGTACTTGTTATTTAATTTCTGCTGGACTTTTATTTCGTATTCTATGCTTATTGGATTTTATGAGATTCTGATGCTTCAAGCTTCTTTTGTTCAATTTCACTTCGCTGGGGGGGGGGGGGGGGGGGGGGGTTGCAAATTGCTGGGGTTGTAAGTGGAGGGGTAAATTGTTGTTTGGATGAAAAAGTAGGGGGTGCAAATAGAGTGAAAAGTAAGTAATTATATTATTTTAAAGTAGATTTTAAAATTTTAAAATAGATTTTAAGATTATAAAATAGATTTTAAGATTTTAAAATATTATCATAAAATAATAAAATAAATATTACTGTATAATAATAAATATACTTTACTAAAAATAGTTATTATATATGGTGTTTGAATGTTGAGTGGTTTGTAACACAGTGTGAATGTTGAGTGCTTTGTAACATGGCTTGTTGTTGAATATGGTGTTTGAATGTTGAGTGGTTTGTAACACATCATGTTGTTGAATATGGTGTTTGAATGTTGAGTGGTTTGTAACACATCACGAGTTCCAACGACAACTATACCGCCTCCAACACCGCCTCCAACAACAACAATGCTGATGGGCAGAATGTCGAGGCCCATAATCCGCCCCCACAGCAGCCTCCCCCGAGGCCTAAGGATCAGAATGTCGAGGCCTCCACAGCAGCCTAGCCTCCACCACGGATGCCTCAACTAGTCAAATGCTTCAATTGCAACGATGTGTTCATCCAGGGGGGCAAGCATTCCTCCCATTTCAAGGAGCCTAAAAGCAGCAGCAACCCGCAAGAGCCCACCCCAGGCAGGGAACAACAAGAGGAATCCACGCTAGGGAGGGGCTGGCATCGAATGTTATTCTACTCTAAGGGCCGCATTGTTGGTTTCTGCTAGTTTGTGTACTTGTTATTTAATTTCTGCTGGACTTTTATTTCGTATTCTCTGCTTATTGGATTTTATGAGATTCTGATGCTTCAAGCTTCTTTTGTTCAATTTCACTTCGCTGGGGGGGGGTTGCAAATTGCTGGGGTTGTAAGTGGAGGGGTAAATTGTTGTTTGGATGAAAAAGTAGAGGGTGCAAATAGAGTGAAAAGTAAGTAATTATATTATTTTAAAGTAGATTTTAAAATTTTAAAATAGATTTTAAGATTATAAAATAGATTTTAAGATTATAAAATAGATTTTAAGATTATAAAATAGATTTTAAGATTTTAAAATATTATCATAAAATAATAAAATAAATATTACTGTATAATAATAAATATACTTTACTAAAAATAGTTATTATATAATAATGCTCAAATAATAATTAATTATAACAATTGTAATAATCATTGATCGAGCGATCTCAAAACTCGAAGCTCAACTCGTAACTAATCATCCTATATAGGGTTTTCGTGTCTAGTTTAATCTTAAATTGTCAAACTTAGTCAAACACGTTCGAATTTGTAAGTTTTAACTATTTAGTCAAATAAACTGAGTTAACCAAACAATTTCTCTCTATCTTTTCCACAAACACCTCGTATCTCTAATTTTCAATGCAAATTCGATTCAACCAAGAGATCTAGATTTTACTTGACAAACAATGATAAACTTGTTTCCAGAGTCAAATGGTCAAGCCCGAATAATGTTTACATTAATGATATTTATAAAAAGAAGACATTGATAATATTAATTATTATATAATTATATATAACACAATTAGAAAAATCAAATTCCATAATTCCCCCTCCCCCTCTCTTCCTTCCTTCTCTTGCACCCCAATTCGGGGGGTAAGCCGAAACAGTAAATTTGCACTCCCGTTTTGCACCCCCCTACTGTTCCAAATTAACCAAACAGGTGCAAATGTATTGGAAACTGTGTTTACCCCTCACATTTGCACCCTCCTCCCATTTACCCCTCTTCCCAAACAAAGTGTGAATGTTGAGTGGTTTGTAACATGGCTTGTTGTTGAATATGGTGTTTGAATGTTGAGTGGTTTGTAACACATCACGAGCTCCAACGACAACTATACCGCCTCCAACAACGCCTCCAACAACAACAATGCTGATGGGCAGAATGTCGAGGCCCATAATCCGCCCCCACAACAACCTCCCCCGAGGCCTGAGGATCAGAATGTCAAGGCCTCCACAGCAGCCTAGCCTCCACCACGGATGCCTCAACTAGTCAAATGCTTCAATTGCAACGATGTGTTCATCCAAGGGGGCAAGCATTCCTCCCATTTCAAGGAGCCTAATAGCAGCCGCAACCCGCAAGAGCCCACCCCAGGCAGGGAACAACAAGAGGAATCCACGCTAGGGAGGGGCTGGCATCGAATGTTATTCTACTCCAAGGGCCGCATTGTTGGTTTCTGCTAGTTTGTGTACTTGTTATTTAATTTCTGCTGGACTTTTATTTCGTATTCTCTGCTTATTGGATTTTATGAGATTATGATGCTTCAAGCTTCTTTTGTTCAATTTCACTTTGCAACTTCTCAATGTTAGCTCGGTGTTTTTGCTCCAATTATATTGTTCCTTGTATGCTGTGTCCATCTGCTTACGTGCATTCTCAAAAGCTGCATGACCAACTTCATGCTGCGATAATTTACAGAGGAATATTAAAATTATATCACATGCTTGCCAACGGAATAACTAAAAAGAAAAAAAATATTGGTCAATTTGTAGAATTGAAAATAATCTGTTTGACCAAGAGAGTCCACCTTAATTCAACGCATTCTGGCTAATCGTATTGTTGTTTTTTTTTTTTGCATAATGTTGTTGCTCAAATTATTAATGAACAATTAATCTGACGGTGCTCTTCAAATACACAGGTCCTAACAGTAAACGTATCACTGAAAAAGGCATGCGAGAATCTATATGCAGAAATCAATCAAGGGACTGCTGAGCAAATAAACACGATTTGCATACTGTCTCGAAAACCAAGACAAAATTACCTTATCAGTCAAAAGCTTGCTCTTTGTGCGAGCAACTTCAAGTTTTCCTTTGTGATCAATCAGTTGCTTATCCCAAGGTTCTAATTCAGCACGACGTCTCCACTTCCCCTATTTATTTACATTAAATAACAAGTCCAAAGACCCAGAAAATAAAATATATTTCCAATTCCATGCTCCATGCCCTAACTCAGTCTGTAAGTGTAACTACTGATAATACTTTTATAAATAATTTACCATTCTGGGTGTAGCCAAAATAAGCCAACTTGAATATGAGAACAAAGAAATTGATACAACAGAACATAAAGAACATCCTCATCTTTAGCACCTCAATCGGACTCGTTCACCGTGAACTCATCTCCAGTTTCCATATCCATCAAAAGGCACTTCAACTCAAGAGAACTTCCTGCTAACTTTTGGCAAGAATCTTATCAATCAAGCAATGACACTTGATTGTGGCGAGTATCTATCTCCACTTCTCCTTTTATTTTTTATTTTATGTTAGTTTGAAGGTCGATTCGAGCTATCCAATCTTGATTTGTGGTTGCGCGACTATGATCAAAACAATCTAAACTTTCACGAGTTTGGGATGTTATAAAAAATTATAGTCTAGCCCTGCACTTTAATATATGAATTCTTTTTATTCTTCAAGTGTGCCCATTTAAGTCAATGACTAAGATGAGAGATAAGAAAATATTTGGGCGCTAAACAAATTAATGGTGCAATGTTGGCAACGATTCTGAAGTCGGGAGGAAGCGGCTTTTCGGAGAGAAGTGGACAAGTGTTGTAAATCTTGAAAGACTTTGATTCCTGGTACTAAGCCTGAATTGAAGCTCATTAAAGCTGGCATTGGGGATTCAACGAATCAGGCTACCCTGCTAATTACCACTAGCATTTTCCGTTTTGGCATTAATGGAAGGAAGGAAACTATATTTGATGAAATTGGGGAAGAAGAAGTAAATGTTCATTTGTCAGTTCACTTTCTTTCATTTCAGACCTAGAGTAAGCAAAGTTACTTCACTCTCTAGTAAAAGATCACTAGAGCTTAAAATGTGATGGTGGTAAAAAGTGAGGTCAAAAGGTTTAAGTTTAACATCCCAAAATGGATCAGTAAAGCTTAAAATGTGGTGGTGGTAAAAAGTGAGCTCAAAAGGTTTAAGTTGAACATCCCAAAATGGCTTCTCATTTATTGAAAGTGACCACAGGCCAACAGGTGTGCCATTGTGATGCATTTTCAACTGTTTTTTAGCAACCAATGACTAATGTACTCCGCTCTTCCTTTATGTATATGCAATAATCATTATTTTTCATTTGTAAGCCTGAACGAGGAAGTTTGTTTATGTAGATTAGTTTCCTGTTTACCAATCACTGAGAATATAGTTCACCATTTTAAATCCCAATTACTATCAAGTTACCTATAAGGATTATAGTTATACTTATATCCATGCAACTTTTCTACCAATCATGACACCAGTAATAGAAACTTGGATGGAGATGGTATAGAAAGTTATCACCTGCACTGCACAAAACCTCTATGTCATTCTCTAATCCATATTTTATTTAAATCTATCAAGATGTTCTAACTTCTAACCATTGACAATCTCATGATTCTTACCTCCACTCCACATAAACTTCTGCAATGCTAGCTGCTGTCAAAAAAGAAATTATTGTCCAACAAAAAAAATATACTGCAACGTAGGGTAGGCGTGGTGAGGGCCCAAACGGGAGCTACCTTGCTGTGCCACATAATACAGCTTTCACTTCTTGGGAGCTGAGCTGGGAGGGAGGGACACATGCCTTTGCACTTCTATATAAAGGACACAACAATGTGTTACAAACCACTCAACATTCAAACACCATATTCAACAACAAGCCATCATGAGCTCTAACGACAACAATACCGCCTCCAACACCGCCTCCAACAACAACAATGCTGATGGGCAGAATGTAGTTGTTGGAGACGGTGTTGGAGGCGGTATTGTTGTCGTTGGAGCTCATGATGCCTTGTTGTTGAATATGGTGTTTGAATGTTGAGTGGTTTGTAACACATCATGTTGTTGAATATGGTGTTTGAATGTTGAGTGCTTTGTAACATGGCTTGTTGTTGAATATGGTGTTTGAATGTTGAGTGGTTTGTAACACATCATGAGCTCCAACGACAACAATACCGCCTTCAACACCGCCTCCAACAACAACAATGTTGATGGGCAGAATGTCGAGCCCCAGAATCCGCCCCACAGCAGCCTCCCCCGAGGCCTGAGGATCAGAATGTCGAGGCCTCCACAGCAGCCTAGCCTCCACCACGGATGCCTCAACTAGTCAAATGCTTCAACTGCAACGATGTGTTCATCCAGGGAGGCAAGCATTCCTGCCATTTCAAGGAGCCTAAATGTAATATCCCACTCTTACGAATCGCTTAATACGTAAATCTTGAAGGTTACAAATCAAGTGTTGGTCATAGTTTCTATTCGTTCATAGGGTTAATGAGATGAGTTTAAAACATGTAGAGCATATCTTCATATAGCTAAATTTAACATGGTAAATTCTATAATTCCAAACCCATCCAAATTAGCCACAACCTTTCACTCTTGGTGAAGGAGCAAGAGAACCGAATCCTACAAGGTGAATGAATATTTGAGTGGCTGGTTTTTGGTGTGTCACTATAAATGAGTTTCTATTTCCCACACATGAGCAGTAGAGAACACGTGGGTGGTGAGGGGGTTTCTTTGGTCTGGGAAAATAAATGGGATGGGAGAAATGAATCCCCTAGGAGCCGAGGAGATAGAGCCATCCACCACTTCATAGTGCCTCTATTGCTCAACTCTTTTCTTGTCGTCACCACTGTCATGCTTAGAGGGAAGAAGTCTGGGTGAAGGGGTTAGCAGCAAGAGTGTGGGCATATAAGGTAATGTTGAAGCTGATGAGCGCCTAGCTATCCTTAGTTAAAGAAGTTGATGTATATGTGGTAGTGGCCGAAAGAATGCATGATTCCAATTAAGAATTTGCCTTGTTCTAGCTGAAGTGATACATGGGTAAATTAGTCATTACTCTGCATGCTGAAATACTGGGGACTTCGCACCCAAGCAATCATGCGTGGGATGGGGATTGTAGTTGCCTACCTGGTTATGGATTATAAACATTGATCGTGGGTTTGGAAATGCTCAAGTAGGGATATATATATATATATATACATAAACACATGTGGCCTGAGTATGTATATAGCTCTCTGTATTACCACTGTTTATACATGCAAGTATTGTGAAAATCCATAGTGGATGTAAGTTGCTTGCATATATATGGATGGAACATGAGAAGTCAAACGTTTGGATAATTATGTGAGGCGGGGAAAAGATTAATATATGTATATTAGTAGTGGGGTTGCATGTGTGTATTCTTAATCCTGATCAAGAAAAAAAATGGGGAAAGCTAAAGTGACACGAAGTTAAGTATAAGGAATAAGATACAAGTGTTCTGAGAAGGGTGATTAATTGGAAGGATTAAGTGTTTATAGACTATATGTTCTTTTTATTAAGTTGTTCCATAATTAATTGCTCGTGTGTTAAACATGTTTATATGATTTATTAAAGGAAAGGAGCATGCCGGAGAATCATCAAAGCAGAAGGGTTTAGCAGAGTAATCGAGTAGTGAGTAATTCTTAACCTAATATATATTTTAGTATGGGCATGGTATTCGGGTCATGAAGCGGCCCGGATACGTGGATTTGTGATAAATCGATAAATGAGCTATGAATGAGTATAAGCTTATATGATGAGAATTGATAATGTGGATATGTATGAGTTTGCTATTTTCAACGTGCATTGATGAATGAGCTATGTGAAGAATTTATTGATGTGCAATTGAGATGATTGTGTATAGCATCAATGAGCATATGATATGATATGTGTGCCTACGGGCTTATGACGAGATGCTTTACATGAGTATTGTCTAACCCATGAACTACGTGATCACCTAATAAAAACATAATGGCGCCTTGTTATGCACTCATGAAAAGAAAAAGAGAAGAAAAGAGTTATACGAGAACTCCCTATAAGGAGTATCGCCAGGCCTGGCTACGAGTTCACGAGATATGGCACTTCGTGCCCACGAGATTACGAGTTCATAAGATATGGAACTTTGTGCCCACGAGTTTATGAGATTTGGCACTTTGTGCCTACGAGATTACGAGCTCACGAGATCCCGGGGAGTGCATAACTTTGCATTAAAAGAAAATGTACATAACCTAGCTAACTATGCTTGTGTTTGAGCCTTGGTACAAGGATTTCCTGTGATGTGGCTAAGTGATGTTTCCTACGATGTGTTTAATAGGTTGTTCATGAGATTGGCGTATTTATGTGAAGGCTTTACTGGGATGTGTTCATGCAATGATTCATTATGAGATTGTGTAGTTGCTACATGCCTCCATATTTTGCTGATTATATGGTGATACAAAATGATGTGTTAGTGAATGTTTTTTTCCTGGAATAGAGTTTGATATGAGTACCTCAAGGGTAAGTGTGTATGATATGAGAACCGCTGAGATTGGTTAATGAACCTTGCATACATAGTTGGGTAAAGTACCATTTAAGCTAGGATTCGTTAAGTGAACTTAAGCCCTTGGTGTACCTGATCACCGTGCGCAACTGGAGTATATATTGGGTTATTGATTACTCATTGAGTGGCGTCTCACCCCCCGCCAATATTTTTCCCTTTCAGAGCCAAAGCAACAACAGAAGCCTCGGTCGAACCAGTAAAGTCAGCCGGATGGCTGAAAGGTGTGCGGCGGAACTGAACTCTCCACATGTTTTCACTTTAGAAGTCGAACTAAATGTTTTAACTCTTTTAAGTTTGTGTACCCACTGAATGTTAAACTACTATGTTGGGTTTGTACTTTGTTTTAAACTCAAACTTTGCATCGTTCGGTGTTATGCTTTTGGATGCTTTGGGAAAACTAGCTTGAATTTCCTAAGCAGGTGATGTAACCTGTATGCTAGTGTTATGTCCAAGTCTTAATGTGAAGTTAAAACCTAAGGTTTAATGAGTATATAATGTGATGATGGTTCCAATAGTACGAGAAGAAGAAGTAGTAGGATGTTACAAGAAGTAGTAGGGTGTTACACTAAAAGCAGCCGCAACCCGCAAGAGCCCACCCTAGGCAGGGAACAGCAAGAGGAATCCACGCTAGGGAGGGGCAGGCATCGAATTTTATTTTACTCCAAGGGCCGCATTGTTGGTTTCTGCTAGTTTGTGTACTTGTTATTTAATTTCTGCTGGACTTTTATTTCGTATTCTCTGCTTATTGGATTTTATGAGATTATGATGCTTCAAGCTTCTTTTGTTCAATTTCACTTTGCAACTTCTCAATGTTCGCTCGGTGTTTTTGCTCCAATTATATTGTTCCTTGTATGCTGTGTCCATCTGCTTACGTGCATTCTCAAAAGCTGCATGACCAACTTCATGCTGCGATAATTTACAGAGGAATATTAAAATTATATCACATGCTTGCCAACGGAATAACTAAAAAGAAAAAAAATATTGGTCAATTTGTAGAATTGAAAATAATCCGTTTGACCAAGAGAGTCCACCTTAATTCAACGCATTCTGACTAATCGTATTGTTGTTGTTTTTTTTTTGCATAATGTTGTTGCTCAAATTATTAATGAACAATTAATCTGACGGTGCTCTTCAAATACACATGTCCTAACAGTAAACGTATCACTGAAAAAGGCATGCGAGAATCTATATGCAGAAATCAAGGGACTGCTGAGCAAATAAACACGATTTGCATACTGTCTCGAAAACAAAGACAAAATTACCTTATCAGTCAAAAGCTTGCTCTCTGTGCGAGCAACTTCAAGTTTTCCTTTGTGATCAATCTATCAGTTGCTTATCCCAAGGTTCTAATTCAGCACGACGCCTCCACTTCCCCTATTTATTTACATTAAATAACAAGTCAAAAGACCCAGAAAATAAAAAATATATATTTCCAATTCCATGCTCTATGCCCTAACTAACGCAGTTTGTAAGTGTAACTACTGATCATACTTTTACAAATAATTTACCATTCTGGGTGTAGCCAAAATAAGCCAGCTTGAATATGAGAACAAAGAAATGGATACAACAGAACATAAAGAACATCCTCATCTTTATTAGCATCTCAATCGGACTCGTTCACCGTGAACTCATCCCCAGTTTCCATATCCATCAAAAGGCACTTCAACTCAAGAGAACTTCCTGCTAGCTTTACTTCAGTTCAACTTCACGGGACGGGGTCATAAATCTCCAAGCTGATTCTCGATCTTGCACCTTCAATGTCTCTTTCTCCTCCTTAGTTCATTCCGTTCCGGCCGCTACTCCCCTTTGCCGCCGCGATTGCCCCGTCAACATTATACACTAGTTGAACTCCTTCTCGCCCTCCTCACTCTCTTTAACCTGCTGATGTGCTCTCCCACTTCCGTGCTTTTCTTCCGCCAAGGGAGAAATATCTCTTAAAAAATATTAAAGCATTTTGAGATTTGGCCCCTATCCACGTACGCCTTCCTCAAAAGTTAGCATGTCCATGCCATCGCTATATAAATCCTCTCTACAGGAAAAGAAATCCAACCAGTTTTTAACCCCTTAACTTCACAAGTCACAACACAACCATCGGCGCTGGAAGTTCCTTCTCTAATCTCCAACCTTTTTCATCCCCGCGAGACCGCGAAAAAACCTGGAAGAAGCAACTTCACCGTCGACGCAACGCATCCTCCGCTACCAATACTTTGAGCCTTCCACAACAAAGCAACAAGCAATCTTGATGAGTCCAGTCAGAGGCGATCCTATGTATATAGTCGTGGCTCTCTGTCTGTCTCTACTCTCAATCGGTTTGTCTATATGCTCTCCTTCTTCCATCTTTTGGGGATCTGCGGTTGAACAAGATGCTTCGTCAGACTCGACTCCAAATCCCAAATAGTAACGTACTTCTCTGGCAATCCAAGGCCAATTGATGTTTGAGAATCACAATACATACGATGGAAGTGTGATTCACGGATGACAGACAAGATTGATACTTTTTGGCAGATTAAAAAATCCCTTTTTCTCCAGTAAGAGATCGTCGTCATCTGCCAAAACTAGAAGATAAGTCATGAATGATTGTCACATGTGCATTTATATTATGTGAGTTATTCATTCATTTTTTCTCATTCTATTCGGTTTCTTTTGTTCTTTTCATGCTCAAGAATTCAAGGCCTCAAAGTGTTGTTTGTGATTGTGATGAATATTACTCCTTCACTTTTCAAAAGGTCATATGCCCCCCACCCCTCCTTTCTTTCTGCATTTTGCTTTCTTTGCTGTTTAATTCCAGGATTGATCTCTCAAGTTCTAGAAATTGGTTGTCTTTAATACAATTAAAATAGACTTAATTAGGCACAACAGGGTAATCAATCATCTCATTATAGAAACCTAAATCAAATGGTGCATTTGTTTACTCTGCAGTTATCAGTTGAGAATTGGAGATATTCAATTACATTCCGCTAGAAGTAGAAAAGTTAAGAGAGCGATGTTTAATGAAGACACAACTTGGTTTTGACGCTCCGAACAACAATGCTAACCGACGGGAAAATAATCCCACAATGCTAACACAACTTGGCAACTTCTGATTCTTTCATCGTGCTTTATGGTTAACAACATTAGATGTTGAATTTATACACTCAGGAAAATTAGGCACTTCAATGTTGATAAACTTCAGTAATGGTGTTTTTATCTACTCTAATCTTTGTATACCTAATACAATCGTATGTGCTTTAAAAAAATATGTTCGTCTATAACGACCATATTGCATGACTACAGGAAGTGAAATCCTATCATTAAAACAATAAAAAAACTCTGGTAATTTGTAATCCAACGAGGCAGACAACAAGTTGCCACACAAAAAAGTGGATACAAGTTAAATCTAATCACATAGACTATCCTAAAAATAATAAAGAATGATATGAAATAAAAATAAAACATATAAGTTTTAGCCGGCCAAAGGCCGGGCACCAAACTAGCTATAGAAGAAAGGAATTATTGCCGGAGGGACGATTTCTCTTTTGCTTTTTCCTTCCTTCCTTTTGTTATTAGTTTTGTTGGTTTTCGCGATTGATTGAAAAGGGGGAATTCTGGAGGCTTGGCGGGAACATGAAACTGGCAAGAGGTTTCAAAGCGTTTAGATATAGAGGTGGACCAAGGCCCAATGTTTTGGTTCGTTGGACTTTCGACTATTCAAGGCCCATAGAGGTCTGAGTCATTGGTTGTGCCCGGCCTCAGGATTAATGGTCGTGGCCTTGAGTATCCTCAATTTTAGCCTTTTACCCAGGCTTACAAAAGAAAACCATAGTTTTGACTCTTGACAGTTGACTTGAGATCAATTTCTTGCCACACTCTACAGTGCGTGGAATGAGGCTTAGAGGAGAGCACAGTAAGGACAAAGATTTTAAGAAAAACTAGGGCAATCTCTATTTTTTATTAAAAAAAATTTCAGATTTTTTATATTATTCAAACCTACTAAAATGCTATTAATTAGTCAAATCTTTCGTAATGCATCAAAATATTAGTCATTTTTACGTTATCGTTAATAATTTTGTAACTTTTTTATTAGTGAAAATACTAAAATTTTGGAATGTGACCTTCATGTGTCTTTTCCAAGTGATTATCATGTTGCCAAGTCAATATTACTAACAAAATTGCTAACTGAAAGTTAACATTTGGCAAATTCTTAGTATTTCGGTACGTTTGACTAATAAAAAATAATTCGAAAAAGATTTGGCTAATAAATAGTCATTACCCAATAAACTACTGTAGATTTTCATGACTAAATACCAGTCTTTGAGGAAACAGGGTTATCAACATTTGTCCAGTACATATAACATATGTACACATATAGTTAAAACAGAGAATTATTTCCTTCTTGACTATACGTAATTCGAACACTATCTCACGATAGAAATAAAAAAATTATTATGTGGTCGATTGATGGTTTTTTTTTCTCTTTTTCTTAAAGACGATCATTCGTCACTAATTATTGACCCCATAAACTCTGTACAAGAGGAAACACCGTCCAGTAGTTCAAGTTCTTGATTAATCTAGATGGCAATATATTTGTTAGCCGCCCTTTCACACTGCATGTAGAGTATCTCGAGCACATGAATTAAAAACACTGACCATTCCTTGAATCACAAGTTATAGTGGGTTGAACCGGGCCAAGTAGAACTAGTGGGTCAAGAATTAATTGGTCATCCATTTTAGTCCGGTTTAGCCCAAAAATATTGAAAGAGTCACACTATATTGTACTTATCTTGAATCATAACCAATTGAAATTCTTCTTCCACATAAGCAATCCAAAATTCCAAATGATTATTAACAATTCGAACTTCTTCCTAACATTTAAAACATCAAACAAACCCTTGCTAACAAATAACCATTCAACTTCTTCCACACAAGCAATCTACTTCGCGTTTCCATTAATTGGAACCAAAATCACCTGCCAAAATCGAACAAACCCTTACCAATCTTTGTTCGAACGGCAGACAGAGGGAGGAAGGTCGAACTCGAGCTAGAGATGGAGACCCGACCCAACCTGGTGGCAAAGGAAGCTTGAGATCGAGCTGTCAACTGTCGAGTGTCGACGGAGCTGGAGGGGAGGGTGGATGCAGAAGGAGCGGTCGTCTGGACAGAAGTCGGAGGCCGGGGAGAAAAACTACGGGCGAGGCAGAGGGAGGCTGATCGGAGGCAGTGGCGGAAGCAGGATTTGAAAATACCCATTTCCTCTTTTCAAATATAAATATATAATTAATTAATATAATTAAAATTAATAATATTCAAATTATTCATTCATAGATAATGAAATAACCGACTAATACAATTACTGTTTGCAACCACGATGAGTTTTCATATTTTGAAAGAAATGTAAAGTATATTCGTTGTTCACACTTTTAAGTAAGTCTCTTTCCATGTATCCCACTAAATAATATAATCATTAGAAACCTGATAACCAATTCGACTTCGAAACTCGTTCGTAATATAGTTCAAGCTAAAAATGCTCTTTCTGTACATATAGTTGCAATAGGTAGAATCAAAACCAGTTTCAAAAGCAAATAAATTGATGGATATGAGTGATGCATTTTTGTCTCCATCAATACTCTAGATAATTTATCATGAACAACCTATTGTCGAATAATAATGTTATGAATGGAACCAATAAATTAGTGAACAGCTATTTGCCGCCAACCAAATTGCTATTTGCCGCCAACCAAAAAAAAAAAAATTTGAATTCAAATTTTGAATTTTCCCTCCCTTCCCTTCCTTTCATTCTATAAATTTAGATATCAGGAACATTTGACTCATTCCAACAAAAACTTCTGTTGACGAGCCCAGTGCCTCCGTCGCCGGCATCGTTCTTCCGTCGTCGGCTAACCTCCCGTCGCCCTCAATCGTCGGAAAACAAGTAAGTTTATTTTTTCCGGTCAGTTTTCTAGTTTTCCGGCCAGTTTTCCGACAAGTTTTCCAGTTTTCCGGCAAAAAAAAGGGCGGGCCGAAAAAAAATTGTGGCCTGAACGTCACCGAGCCGAAAAAAATTTGCGGCCAGTGCGACGGCCGGCCGAAATATTCTTTCGGCCCGGCGACGCCTCGGGCGCAAATTTTTTTCGGCCGGTCGCCGACCATGCCGCCCAAAAAATTTCCGGCGGCGTGTTCGTCGGCCGGCCGAAAAAAATTTGCGGCCGGAGCGACGTCGGGCCGAAAGAATTTTTCGACCGGCCGTCACACCGCCCTCAAATGTTTTTCGGCCCCACGTCGCGCCGCCCGCAAATTTTTTTCGGCCGGCCGCAAACTCTTTTCTGCCCGGCGGCGCACCGGCCGCATAATTTTTTCGGCCCGGCCAGTTTTTAATTTAATTTAATACAATAATTAATTAGTAAATAAAAAATTACTTATTAGTAAATAAAAAATTAATTAATTAGTTAATAGAAATTAGCAATTAGTGTTAATATTTATTTAAGTTGGTGTATAAATGTTTTTTTTTGTAATAGGCGTTTGAATGTTTAATTACTTAGATTAGTTAATGGAATTTTAATTAATTAAGAATTGATTTAACAATTAATGTTAATATTCAGTACATTTGTGATTAATTAACAATTAATTTTAATAGTATAGAAATTTAATTAATTTGTGATTAATTAACAATTAATGTTAATATTACATTAGTTAATATAAAATTAATTAATTTGTGATTAATTAACAATTAATTTTAATAGTATATTAGTTAATAGAAATTAAATTAATTTGTGATTAATTAACAATTAATGTTAATATTACATTAGTTAATAGAAAATTAATTAATTAGTGCTCATCTAAGTATGATATTTTGTAAATTTGTAGATAATTAGATATGGATGATGCGGGTGATGCGGGTGGGGATAAGTTGTATAGATTCAATGGTAGGATTGTTGATGCATCAGCACGAAGGAAGAATAAGGAGAATAAGCGCTCTCGAGATATTGGACATCAGTCACAGGCAAATTTAGGGGAGTATGAGTTAGAGGCTCCTACTGTAGTTGCTCGTTCGGCATCACGGGCGTCTGGTTCCCATGGGAGGAACCAGGGTGCTGCATCGAGAGTGGTCTCGGCTGAGTTTGATGAGGACGATAGTGATGAGGATATCGAGGTCCCTCCACCTACGCGTGGACATGGACGAGTGCCGTCTCGTACGGCAACATCACGTCCTGCTATGTATAGGGACCGAGCTGGGCGATTCGTACCACCTGCTCGTCAGGAGACAGAGAGCTCGGGGACTGGACGGAGTAAGGGAGGACGTTCGAGTGGTCCTCCACCGTGGGAGCTTGTTGGTGAGTGTCCTGGTGGACCTACGGATCCTAGCCTCATTAGGAGCTTTCGTGGCCACGTTGCCTATGCGCTTTGGACGGGGGCTGGAGATCGAGGGGTCATCAGTTGCTAAAGCCGTACATCGGCGGTTGCTTATTTGAGTAGCTACGTGTTTAGTCATGTTGAGGCGGAGAATCTGGTTCAGCAGTCAGGTCTCCAGCACCTGATGTACTCTATGTTCCGCAAGATAGCGATTGACGATGCTTTGATCTCAACTTTTGTGGAGAGGTGGCAGCCAGACACGAACACCTTCCACTTGCCTTTTGGAGAGATGACGATCCTCCTCCACGATGTTCAGTACTTACTGCAGATTCCTGTTGAGGGACGACTAATGAGTAGGAGTTCTGCGCAGCTTGACCATCCGGAGGCGGGTTTGTGTGCGCTTCTTGGGATGAACTCGGAGCAGTTGAGTGGTCGTTCGGAGGTCCCTGGATATAGTAATAGGGGTAAGTGGTACGAGAAGGGTGGTTTTCTTGCAGAAATGGCGTCCAGATACTTGCAGAGCCACGGGACACATGTGACAGAGGCGCAGTCGTACTTGTTGTTGTTGTTGGGGTCCACTTTGTTTGTGGACAAGAGTAGAGACAGGGTTCGGTCGGTGGTGAACCTATTTTTGGACGAGTTGGAGGAGTTAGATCAGTATAGTTGGGCGTCAGGTACACTTGCTTGGTTGTACAGATACCTTGGTCAGGCGTCTCGTGCTGGTGCCAGGGGGATGGCTGGTTGTCTCACACTTCTGCAGTGTTGGATCTACGAGTACTTTCCGGGTTTCAGGCCATCTCACTTCGAGCCTGCCGCCGTTGGACCTGATGATGCTTGGGCTTCACGATGGATTGGGCAGCCGGCACCTGGTTCTGTGGCTGATCCCAGTGTGAGGTTGGCGTTCTACCGTCGAGCTCTTGACAGCTTGACCCCTTCTGATGTGTTTTGGACACCTTTCCATCAGAGGCCTCATCAGGCAGTGCGTCGCTCTTTGTACACTGGAGTCATCCGGTTCGCTGACATAGGCGAGTTCTATGATCCAGCCCGTTGCCTCTGACAGTTTGGATATGTTCAGATGGTACCGCCTGCCCCTTCGCGTCCTCAGCGAGCAGACCGACCAGAGGCACCTGGTGGATATGTCCTTCGGATTCCTGAGAGTTTTGATGCTGCATGGGATGCTCTGCTATCCCACATGGTTCATATAGACATGTACTCTCAGCCGTGGACGACGTATCCATATGAGACTACGAGAGACTATCTTGACTGGTTCGTGGCGCACTCTCATTGTAGAGTCCTACGGGATGATGGAGATGCAGATCGACTTATTGACTCCGCAGCGGTAAGATTTGACCACTATATCGTTACTCTATTATAAATATACTTAGCATGAAACTAAAAATTGTTCTTGTTTTTTTTTTATGCAGCGTGGTCGCGACCTTTTGTACACGTTTGCACCTGCGGTTCGAGCAGCATCAGGGACCGAGGAGGAGTTTCTTGAGCATTATCGACGAGCCTACAGGGCACTGCACGGAGTGCAGGATGTGTGGACTGAGTACTGGGCTTCTCAGGGACTCCCCCCTCCTCTAGGGGATTTTTAGTTGTTTTTATGTTTCCATGTTTGTGTGTTAGATCGGATGTTTGACTACTTATGTATGTTTGGATCGGATGTTTATGTTTACACTGCATGTTTCCATGTTTGTGTGTATGATCGGATGTTTGACTACTTATGTATGTTTGGATCGGATGTTTATGTTTAGACTACATGTTTCCATGTTTGTGTGTTAGATCGGATGACTACTTATGTATGTTTGGATCGGGTGTTTATGTTTAGACTGCATGTTTCTGACACTAGGGTCATTAAAGATACAACTAGAACATAATGAAATCCATAAGTTCATAATGACACAAAGGTCATTAAAAATACAACTAGAACATAATGAAATCCATAAGTTCATAATGACACTAGGGTCATTAAAAATACAACTAGAAAAACAACAACATATAAATAGAGTATTGCAACACTATGCATTGCTCCTACCCCTACCCCTTCCCCTAGCTCTTCGGGGGTCTCTCTGCCTGGCTCACTGCCGACCATCAAGGCTCGCAAACAAATTTTGTCCAACCTCGAGAATAGCTCCCCACTCCGCCACATTAGGATTTGCGATCCCATGCCAAAGTGGATGCAGAGGGGGTATAGGAAACTGATCCTGGTTGAAGTACAATCGAATGTAGTGGTTATTCACATAGTGCAGTGATAAGAACATGGTTGGTGGCAAAGTACCTGGTTCCGCATCAATAGGCAATACAGTATAGGCATCATCGTAGCGGTTGGGTAGTGGACGGTTTCCATTATTGACATCAAACACCTGGTATGTGAAGACCATGACTGCGATGTTGTAGATGGTGGCAAACACGAACAAGTCCTCAGAATCCATCCATCGCCCCGGTGGTGCGGGACCCGCCTCTAGCCAATTGATGAGGTCAATGTGAGCTAGTGGACCACCATTATACAAGTTCTCGTACTTCCAAAAATGTTGTTGGATTTCTTGGACAATCGTCGATCTCATGAGCAGATAGTGACTATCATCCCCATAAATACAATGAGAAAGTGCCCTAAAACCACAATGGCCGTCTGGACTAGGGTTGAAATCGCCTACCAGCAAAAGTCGAACAAACTCTGGAAAAAGCTCATCGATGCACACCCCCTTCAGTATTGAGTGTCGTCTTCTGCTGATTTGGTCTCACCCCCGCCTTCCTCATTAATCTTAACCTCTCTTTTTCAGCCTCACTAAACTGTTTGTTGTGTCGGTGATGTTCTGGATACAACACCTTTTCATGGTTGTGAAACCCTCTATTAGCTCCGGTTTCATGACTTGTCACTCCCACCATGACCCATGTGTTTGGACCATCCTTTTGCCATACTTCCTTTATACATATCTGAAACTGGCAACCAGTACCCTTCGAACTAATATTCCCACGCGTCTCCTTCGTAGGGTCTGGTTTATAAGACTTAACGATCCTACTACTTCTGTCGCAATATATACAGAGGGCAGTAACAGGATTCTGTCCAGCAGTATTCGGTTTCCATGCTCCTCTAATAATAAAGAACCCACACTACTGAGCGATTGTTTTTGCAGCTAACTCAGCTAACTCCACACTTGCATAATGGATCCCATTCTCAAATTCCTGTGTGTAATCATGATCGGCCGGTAACAACTCTGACATTTTTCCTACAATTACAATATAATACATCAATATTCCTGTGAACCTAAACGCTAATTTCAAGTCTTAACCGCTAAATTCAACTCCTAAACTCTAAATTCAATTCTTACACGCTAAATTCAACTCTTAAACGCTAAATTCAACTCCTAAACTCTAAATTCAACTCCTAAAATCTAAATTCAACTCCTAAAATCGAATTTTTCCGGAAAATTGCAAAAACAGACGGTGGGCCGAAAATTTCCGGTGGCCGGAACCTGGTCGGGCCGAAAAATTCCGGTGGCTGGAACCTGGCCGGGCCGAAAAATTCCGGCGGCCGGAGCCAGGCTGAGCCGAAAATATCTTGCGGCTCAACCTGGTTCCGGCCGCCGGAATTTTTCGGCCCGGCCAGGTTCCGGCCACCGGAAATTTTCGGCCCGGCCAGGTTCAGGCCGCCGGAAATTTTCGGCCCACAGTCTGTTCGTTTCAAATCGTCGGAAAAATTGTTCGAAACTAAAAAAAAATTACGCACCTGCTTAGTGATGATTCATTGATGCGTGTACGCAGTATATGTCGAGGATAGGCTTTCCCGATGATTTTCCGGCGACTTTTCCGGCGAGAGTTGAATTTTTCTGATTCAATACGTTCTCTGAAAGTTGGATATGTTGTAGATTGTGAAACTCCTTACCCAAAGATGTATATATATACTCTTTTTTTTTTTTTTTTTTGGTTGGCGGCAAATAGCAATTTGGTTGGCGGCAAATAGCAAGCCACATAAATTAACTAGTTTTTCTGTCATGAACAAATTATTAGTTGTGATGTAGTACTACATCCTTATATTAATTGTAGGTGTTATATTTTTGTTCCTCCCCTAATTTTCCCCCCTGTCCCGTGACAAGGGCAAAGGGTGCTCCCTACGCCTATGATCGGAGGTAGATGGCGGCCGACTCTCTCCGACGACCTGAAGCGCGCTGCCGAAGAAGGGGGGAACAACATCGAGCAGCTGCGGGAGCGGAGCGGGAGCGGAGCGGGAGACAGAGCGGCGGGTCTACAGGAGAGAAGATTGGACGAGGGAGCCCGTGGTGTTAGGGTTTTAGTTGCTCTGCTTCTCCCTCAACAGAAAACGACGCCACACAAATGGAAAACGGCGCCAGAAGATGCAACCTGCTGACCCGGTATGACGGGCTAACCGCCCGGATTTCACCAACTTTGATAGGGTTTCGGCGGGTTCGACCAGTTCCGGGCTGATGTTGAAAAGGGTTTGCTTTGAAGATACAAACCCACAAAGCTATGATATTTAGAAACCATGAACTCAAAACTACTCGCATATTATATCGATTTCAGATAGATGCTACATACGCAGAGATTTGTGTGGTAGCTAGATAGTTGAGAGATGGGGGATCTGAAACAATAAATGTCAATAATGGACATTGCAACAACAGACAGGGGCGTGCTACTGAAACAGAGCACCTTACCCCACAGGCTGAGAACTAAGGGAAAAAAATAACAGGCAGTAGTAGTAGTAAGAATAATGCATAGAGGATTAATTAAATAGTAGTGAATGTGATCATCAAGTTCAAGTAGGTTGTTTTAATTTAAGGGCACTTGGGGCCGCCTTGCTGGGTCTTCCAGTTGTTGTAACAAGGGCAGACAGCCTTGTTGCCGTAGTAGCCTGGAGGGACGCAGAGGCACTTGCTGCAACACTTCTGGCAGAAGAACATGCACGGCTTGTGGTACTGCGTCCTGCTGCACCTCCTCGTACACTGTGACGGGCACTCTGCAGCATGCCAAGAAATAGAAAGAAAACGGTAAAAAAAGAAAGAAAAGAAAAAAAAGTTACCCTCTGCTCTAGACTCTAGTCCATCATAATTAGTCAACAGTCAGCAAAGACAACCGTTTGACCACGGTCAAAACTGCAGATGGAAAATAAGAGACTACTGACTATAGGTAGGTAGCTTACGGTTGCTTCTCAGACTCCCCGGCCCATATTTGCTCTGCATCCGAATTGCAAGAACGGCGACGAACAAAGTCAGACAGAATTAAGCATGTTAGCATTAATAAAAAAAGCCCAGAAATTAGTTATATCAGTGGTATACGTATATATAGTTACCTTGTTGTTGTAGTGGTGGCCGCCGTGTCCATGGGAAGCCATAACCTGCAACCAAATTAAGCGGAGGAAATTAATTTTCAACAAGCTAGAGCTGACTACAAAGTCTTCTCGATCGCGACTACATTGTGACTCTGCAAGGAATTGAAAGGACGGAAAGAGTTAATTACCAGAGTTTGGAGCATGGAAATGGCGATGAGTGCCAGCAGTAAGACCATGACATCCAGCTTGGCCATGGCTATTGATCAGGAGGCTAGTTGCTGGACTGGTTAAGGAGGCTAAAGATGGAATGTTTTTGGCGGGTACGCTCCCCCTATTTAATTTATAGACTGAGAACTTTCTTCTTCTTGTCCCAGAGATAACCTGAAATGGAGGATTGTTTATTATTTTCTGGGGGAAGCAAGGGGCAGCAGCAGGCAGCATTGATTTTCCAACACTCACTACAGTAGCTACACCACTTTATTATCTTTCTACGAGATGCTGGATTTATATTGTTCTTCAAAGTTAAGACATGAAACAGGTCTTCAATCACGATGACTGGTGGTTCAAATTGAATCAGATCCTAAATGATCGATGTTCTCTACAACGACAATAGTACGTGTGAATTATGAATCTCCCAATGGATTAGTTACCACTTTTTTCCTTGATAAGGGCCGTAATTTCATGAGCTTTTGCAAGTCCATTAGTAAAGCTACCTACCTGAAAATTAGCATGCGCATTAACAGCACAAAAGAGAGAATGGCCGGCCCTTCCCCATACTGCAGTCCCACATATCAAAGATTCATAATGAATAAGATCAGCAATCAATAAATTCTGATCCATCTTTTGGCATCCATCCACGATAAGGCATGAGGCAGGCGATCCACCATTCACGGCATTTGAGCAATCGACTTGTTGCCCTCGAGATATAATTAATAATTATAGCTCTCGTGGATTGGATGGATAAAGGAATGGGAGATGATCAGTTTCCGTCTCCATTTCCCTGCTCTGTCTGGGTTGGAACTTGGAAGTGAAGTGGGTAGGTAGCAAAAGGTTGCCTTCGGGGCGGGCGAGGGCTATGCTGGATTTAATTGCACCGTCCGTCGCACAACATGGCAACCTAAATACTGAAAATAGACCATTCCATTCTCATGCAAGTGGAATCGCCGCATCCAATCTTCTTAGTAGGTAGAATCATTAACTGTTGAATGATGTGTACATTTGGATTTTGGGTATTGACGTCGAGGGATTTGCCTCTAACAAGGGATGGCAATTTAGACCTGACCCGATTTACTCGACCTGTTTGACTTGTTTTGGGGCGGGTCAGACCCGCCCCGTAGGTAGGGCGAGGCGGGCATGGGTATCTCTCATCAACCCGACTCATTTTTTACCCGTTTTTACCTAAATTACATATAATCTTAGTCAAATTACTTAGAATTCTCCTCTTATTACATTATATTTTAGCTATAACAAAGTTGTAATTAATTGAACCTCAATTTCTTCAATAATTTAACTAGATTTTATCATGTTATGGTTTCTTTCTTGGTATTTTAATGAAAATAACGAATATTTCTAATGCTTTTTACTTAAATTACATACCCATTGGGTCGACCTGCCCCGACCCGCGCCCCATAATAAATAACCTGACCTGGACCTGACCTACAATGGGGCGGTTATAAGTATCGAGATACCCGCCCGGACCTGCCCCATTGCCATTCGGCCCATTCCTACCTCTAACCAGGTAGTTAATTAATTTATATGGGTTAATGTGATGATCACCAGATATTGTATGCTAATTTCATGGTCTAAATACTTTTTATGTGAGTTGTGTGATTTGTGTTCGAGTTGGTACAAGCGAGACATGGTGTTAATAGAGGGTGTACATTTTATCCAAGTATAGTTCTAAATTCGGCTAATTCGAGTTGGTACAAGCAAGATATGTTCTTTTAGAGAATAATATTTTACTTTGTAAATCTTCTCGTAGGATTATGTTATGAGGCGGATATCTAAACTATATTTATTGAACCACATTAAATAATACATATTTATTTATTTATTTATTTATTCACTATATAAAGCCTAGACAGGCCAAAAGTGTTAAACATAAGCTTGATCTTGCTCTAATATCTCCCAAATACTTTTATTTCAGAAATCACTCTAAATATCTTAAGTTTAATTCTTCAAGTACCTACGAAAATTAAACTCCTACTTAGCACCAAAAGTAACAACCGTAACAGATTGTGTACATTGTTGGGACTATGACTTGGGCCTGGCCTGTCCAATGGATCGAGTGGGCCAGCCCATGAGAAATGAAAATTATAAAGGCAGATAAAGCAATTTGGGGGGGAGTAGATAATATAATTGCAGTTGATCTAATGGAAGAAAAAAAAAAAGATAATATAATTGCAGTTGGGCTGTTGATTTCGTAACGTATCCATTTGACCAAAAAATTGGCAGTTACTTACAAGTTACACCTCATCCTCTTGTCCTCGAAAGGATGGTGATAATATGGGAAGTAGGATCTGACCCATTCTTTTTTGGACTAAACAGACGACGTTGAATATGGTTAGGGATGTACATGTAGATATGTGCAACCACCATCACATAATAATGTACCAAAAATACAAGATTACTTACTTCATCGAAACAACCCTCAATCAATCTCTCCAGTTTAGTTATTTGACAAACGAGTTCTTAGGATACGATCTCTGACATATATAAGTAATTAGTGTACTATTTATTTAGTCCTTCCCCAAATATTTATAGCTGCTAAGATTGAGAATGGTATACAACTGGCATTCACAAAACCGACGACGCACAAAACAAATTTGTTCAGTACCCTCTGAAGCCTGTCATTTGATAGAGTCAAACAACCTCAACAGAAAAGGAGGTACCGTATAACCACTAGACTAATCTCAATCTATCTAGCTAGAGAATGCCAATTCTGACAAATGCCGACCAATCTCGAGATCATCCCCGTGCCAACTTGTGTGATCAAATGCCCATCAGAATTTAGAGTATGAAGCAAGTTAATCAAGAGTTTCAACAACGCGACTTGATTTTCCCATAGAAATAACAACTTATTGGCGATTGGATTTATTTTCAAATTAGGTTGGGGATTATTCACTCATATCTAGATCCATGTAAAGAAAATAAAGAAGAGAAACTATAGAGGTGGAACGCAATAAAACAAACATATGAGTATCTATTTTTTAAAGTGTCGGGACTGTAAATGAGACGAAGAATTAGAACAATGGTGAAAATTCGAGTTCAACCAAATCCATATAGACATGATTTCAATTCCAACACCGACGGACAGTTCTCCAAGTGGAAGAACTATGTAGAGAAAATTAACATAGCAAAGGGACCACTTACATCGTTAACCCTACGAGAAACTATGTTATTTGTCATGCTAATAATGCTAAATACTCATATACACCAACAAACATGTAACTCAACGATGCCTTGACGATAGTGCGGCCCAGATATGGTGTGTTCAAGACTTCCAAGTCCCACCCAGTCAACATGTAAAGTTGCAAACCCTTCCAATCGATAGACTAATTGTAATTTTTCTAGATGAGCAGTGAAAAAAGAACTCTTTCAACCTCATCAAAATCAAGGATTTAGCTTAGTGGTAATACCACTAGTTTTGAATCTGGAAGTCTCAAGTTCAAATCCGTTTAATAGTACAAAACATAAAAAGTAAAACTATATCAGCTTTATCTAAAAAAAAGAGCTAAATAGCTTGCTCGCTCAAGCTCAATCTTCTCCATGGCATAATTGGATCGCATTCTTGATACTTCCCCAAATTTAGTTGCATGATTGTACCTTGCTTGCTTGATGCTTCCCTCATAACGCCTAGGTTCATTAGTGCAACAAGCCCGCTATCTGCTTCCCCTTCAAGTAGGATATGAGATAAGATTATGCTTAATTCCTTTGACAAATGATTGTCTACAAGTGTTACACCTTACATAAAAAGGCAAACAAGATGAGAGTGGGTTAATAAGTATGATCGAGATCAAAAGGGTTCTTGTTTGACCCAAGATTAAGGTTCCTCTTAATTGGATGTTGCAACTCATAATCCACTAAAGTGGTGGTTTGTTTATCTTAATGGTCCAAAGGACTTGAAAGAATTCCCCTTTTAAGCATCTCTACTCAATTTATATATTCCACAAGAATATAAATAAAGCATGGCCACATTGTGGGCAAGAACAAAGAAAGAAATCAATTTGATTCTTCAAGATAATAAACATAATCCCAGATGAGATATTGACCACATACATATGTAGATCTTCATTTCTATATTATAACTTCCAGCCTCAAATCAGAACCCACATCTAATAATTGGGTTTGTACCCCCAACAAGTGACCAAACCCCTATTTGGCTAATCAATAAACTAATAAGACACCGATAAACACCCCCCTAATATAAATACCAAATCCCCCAAAAAGGCCCATCATCCATTCCATTCCATTCCCTAATTAAATAATCAGAGTAAGATCCTCTTCTTTCTATTATTGTCTTAACATAAAAGTAATCCATCCAAAAACAAAGAAGTACATATAAAGAAATCAATCTTATATTATAATGACACCACCAAATCCTAGATATGTTAGAATAATATAATAGGAGTATTATGTAACGGTCCACCCCAACCCAACACTCCACCTTTTTGCTGCATTCACCCGGACACGAAGAAGAAGAAGATAAGGGGAATCATGACAAGGAATCCCATCAACAAGGAATCATGACACAGAGAGTGAAAATCAAGCATACACCCATTTTTTCAGATTTGGTTTCAAGACGAGTTAAGTCAAGAACAGTCGACACAGATCTACATGCAAAGAGCAGAAACACACGGGTTGATTAAGATTAAGATTAAGCTGAAGATTCTTACTTTTCTAATCATGTCAAACCACAACAGTAATCATCATTAATTAAGCGCAAAAAGAAGCTCTAATTAGAATACAAAATCAGGAAATTAATGGAAAGGGAGGAAGAGACAGAGAAGAGAACTGATCATGGAAAAACCTTAATTGCTTTGCTGCTCTCTAAACTACTACCTACTCATAAGTACTTATTAATTACCGGCCAAATCATCGATTTGGATGGACGGACGGAAGAGGGGGGGAGAGATCAAGATTTCAAGATGATGAAGATGACCCATTAGCGCCGCCGACATTATCACTCTCAAACAGACGGTGGTGGTAGTGGTTGTTGTTGCCGTGATTCGACTCATCCCCGTTATTGCTGACACCAGCGCCGGCGACGCTGTGGTGGTGGTCGAGGCTATTATTAGTATTACTACTACCACTGACCCGGGTTTTGGCGAAGGTGTTCTTGTTGTTATGCATCCAGACTTTAAGAACCCCTTTGTCTACCTTGACCTCGTTGCAGAATTCCAGCACCAAATCCTCGTGGCTCTTCTGCATCTTCCACCCGACCCGCTCCGCGAACTCGTGCATCCGCTCCTTCTGGTGCTGGGTGAACCTGGATCTGAACCGCTTCCTCGACGACGACGAGCCGTGGTGGTGTGGGGAAACGGTTGCGAGATTCGGGTTCGGGTTTTCGCCGGGTCCCGACCCGGACAGAGCCAGCAGCATGTGGGGGGCGGAAGGGTAGGAGGACGAGATCGGAGGCGGGGAGGCGGAATTCGGGCTACGAGGGGGCGCCGCCGAAAGCGGTGCTGGCGGCGGAGGGTGGTGGCGGTGGTGGGGATGGTACTCGATGGCGGCGAGCGGCGGCGGCAGAGCCAGAGGATTATGGGTGTTGGGGTTGTCTTCCGGTTCGCGGCGGTGGAAATTGCGGTGGCAGCCGCAGGCGGCGCATTTCAATGAAGTGGGATCGGTGTGGGTGGTGTTGGGGGAAGGCATGAACTCCCCGCATCCGTCCAAAGCGTGGCCGCCCAAAGAAGCAGCGTGGTTCTTGAGACATTCCTTGTAGGCGACGGTGGTGGGCGGCGGCGGCGGCGGGCGGAGGTGGTGGTGGCGTTTGAGGACTCCGTTGGTGAAGGAGAGCGGCTTGGGTGGTTGGATCCGGGTGGGCGTCTCGGATTCGGGCTCTTGGGATTTGGGAGACGGGCTGTTGCTGTTGTTGGCGGTGGTCGGAGCTGCTGGGTGCGGTGAGACGGATGCTAGTACCTCCATAGTTCAAACATTTAAAGAAAGCAACGTGAAGTCAGAAGCTAAAACTAACCAAGTAGAGGTTTCTGGGTGGTAAAGGAAACTGTGGAGGATCTGGCCATGGAGATTTGGAAGTACTTTGGGAAAGGTTGAAGCTTGAAGGAAAGTAAGAGAGAGAGAGAGAGAGAGAGAGAGGAGAGATGATTAGAGATGGGATGGATGGGAATGGAGGGATGATGATGATGATCAGAGAGTCAGTGAGTGAGTGAGTGAGTGAGGGATGATGATGATAATTTGGTGGGTTTTTCTTATTTATTTTAAATTTTTAGAAGTCAAGTTTTGTGGTTGTGCTGTCTTAACCTTAACTCGACTTGAGAGAGGGTTTATGATAAAGAATGAACCCTAGTTGTAACATCTTTGGGTTAAGTGACCCATACAATACCATGGGAGTGGTGTTGATTATTGGTTACTATGTAATAAATGTTACCCCCAAGTAGGGGTGTCAATTTGGGTTCGGTTTTTCGGGTTTACCCGAAATCGACCCGATTATATACATTTTCGGTTTTTTGGGTTCGGGTTCGTTTCGAGTTTCATGTTTTTTGGTTTCGGGTTTGGTTTTGCTTATCGGTTTTTCGGGTTCCGGCTAAAAACTTCCAATGAATAAAACTCAGCCCGTATTTTTAGGCATTCGAATTTTCGGGTTTCGGATTTGCTTTAACCGAACCCGAACCCCATAATAAATTTTTGGGTTTCGGTTATCCGAAACCCGCAAGTCCTTATCGGATTTGGGGTTCGATTTTAGTGATTTTGGGTTTCGAGTTTTCGGATTTTTTTGGGTTTCGGTTTGGGTAACCGAACCCGACCCGAACTGACTTCCCCCAAGCCCCAACCCACTACTTCGCTTTGACCCTTGCATAGTGTTACCATAAGCCATCTTTGAAAAGGGGGGAAGAAGTTAGTCAAGTTACCCCTATTTCCTTGTGCTTTTGCTTTTCAACTCTCTTGTTGGCTGTTGCAGTCTGCCAATGGAAGAAGGGGGGAAGTGGTTTGTGGCCGTGTGGGTGTGGAGAAGTGGCTAGTCTTTTCACAAAGTCAAAACTCATGTGTATAGGCTTAGATATGGACTCATAACTCATTATCTATCATTTTCATTGGCTTAACTTTGTTGATTAGAGAGTAATGGACCGAACTATAGTAAACTTGGTTGGCTTAACTTGATATCAGATGTACTAAATCGATGTGGAATGTGTCATGACCACATTTAAGTTTTTGTGTAAAATAATTTTAATTGGAAGTCTAATATCTAAAATTTGCTTCGAGCTCTATTAGAATGTTAATTTGCATGTTGAACTATCATCACGAGTGACATTTTTCTAGGCTGGCTATTTGGTCCGGACTTTTTGGTTTTACCAAAAACCGAACCGTATAATATGGACCGAGATCGGATAGCAAACAATACAATCCAATTTTCGGGCCTAGATTTGAGATAAAAAACCGTTTGGGACCGGACCGAAAACCGGATAAGAGAGCCCAACACTCAAAATTTAACCTCCTCGCCCTTTCAGACCTTAGGCCACTCAAATCCCCACAAGCTCAATCTAAAATCAAGACCGAATTGGGACCAGACCGGTTCAAGACTGGACTGTATTCAATCCAGTCTTTGATCCTTATATTCTCGAAAAGACCGGACCGAGACCAGATCAATTCAGATCAATTTAATCGGACTGGACCGTGTAGCCACCCCTACCTTTTCCAATGGTCTCTTTTCCCTATTCCGACCCCAAGTCTCAACCCTAAACCTTGACTTGCAGTTCTGAAGAATTTCGGCACAAAATCTGGTTGTCTGCCTGTGAAACCTCGGAATGGTGCATGGAATCGAAGGTTAGATCCTAAACAATAAAATGAACCACAGTTCGTGAATCGTGAAACGGGCATACTTAGCCAATAGCCATAGCTGCGGCCTGCCGACATGTGCCGCATAATGCTTTTCCAGGCCCAGTCTTCTTAAGCACCCCAGCCCAAACTATCCAGTCCTGGAGGGCCTAGCTTCTTACAGGCCCAATTTCCAAATCGACCGTCTCTCTTCCCCCAGCTCGCTTCTTCGGCGCCAAACAAACACACTCAATTGCCTCGCTGATTGATTTCCTGGGACTGGGCCGACAACAAGTAGAACTGTAGAAGTATCCGGCCTTCATGGCCCGGTAAACTAATCCCAACGTGTACTTTTTTGCCCCAGGACAGAAGGGAGGATTTTAAGTTATAACTAATCCGAATTCTGAAGTGGTTATAGGGGTTCTCGAATCTAAGGCCCTGTTCACTTTCATTTTCGTTTCCTGTTTTCTATTTTCTTGTGATATATTTGACAACCGAAATGAGAAAACTTGTTTACTTTTCATTCTGTTTTCTATTCGTTTCCAACTATGAAAACAGAAAGTGGCAACTTCCTGCTGTTTTCGGAAACGACAAAATGTTGTTTTCACCTGTTTTCAACATCTGTTTTCTTAAAAACAGGAAACAGAAATGAAAGTAAACATGCCCTAAGGTTTACAGTATGCCTGGCTATTTGGTCCGGGTTTTTTGGTTTTACCCGAAATCGGATCGTATAACCCGGACAGAGACCGGACCGGGACCGGATAGTAAACAATCTAATCCAATTTTTGGGCTTAGATTTGAGGTAAAAAAATGTTCGGGATCGGATCGAAAACTGGATAAAGACCGAATAAGAGAGCTCAACACCTAAAACCTAAGGTTAACTTGTATAAACGGTCACAAACCTTTGCATTTAGTACAAAACTTAACCAACTTCTCACCCTTTCAGGCCTTAGGCCACTCAAATCCCCACAAGCTCAATAAAAAAACAAGACCGAATTGGGACCGGACAGGGTCAAGACCGGACTGTATCCAATCCAATCTTTGGTCCTTATATTTTCAAAAAAGACCGAACTGGACCGGATCAATTTGGGCCAATTTAACCGGACCGGACCGTATAGCCACCCCTAGTTTACACTTTACAGGAAGGAATGGTAACGTAGTGGCTCATTTGGTGGCCCGTAAATCTCCGTTGTTTTCATCTTTTATGTTTTAGATGTTTCATGTTTGATATGTTTTTTGGTTGTTTAGTAGATAATGAACCGTTGATCTTTTTTATTTTTTCATTAATCTTGAAATTTAATGTGGTGATTTATAAGGTGTGTCAAGAGGTCCTCCAGCATATTACCTCACAATATTAGAGAATAGGCATGCTAATTAAGCGAATGATATATTCCAGCTGAATTCATGTCATATAATTAACTGATTATGAGTATCTTGATGAGGTTTAACTCTTTTAATTAGTATTAAGCTTAGTCATTGATAAATATTTTCATGTATATCTACACTAGGGCATGTAGTATATTTATTGTTAAAGTAATATTTTAATTCTAAAATGATGAATTAAAGTGCTAATGGATTAGATATAATGATGATCGGAAATTATCTTCTGGATGATATGAAAATGGAACGGATAATAGATAGTTTATTTTAAAACTCATTAGAAAACATGCCTTTAAAATTCATTTGACAATCCTGTTAGTCATTTATTACTTTATGTTATTACGCATGATGATGGATTAGTCATTAAACAGTGACAATATAATAATACAAAAAGGGAAAAAATTCCAATACGATTTGCATTGAGTTCATGAATCAGAGTTGCGTTCTCAATCCCAACAATAACTTAGTAGCAAATAAGGATCACAAACAATATGATTTAACTTGCTAATTGCTCTAGACTACTATGTTGAATCACTCCATTTACTGTCCTTTGACTTCATATCTCAACCCACAAAAGCAAAATAAGAGAGATGATAAAGAAGGCAAACCACAATATGTTAAACTCATTCGAACAAGATTACATATCTATATTTATATTTTTGTCAAGACTAGTTTCTAAATCATATAATCCGATATTTTGAGGATTGATATCAACCGATCGAAAAAGCTTCTTCCCTCTTGATGATGAATTGTGGAAGTAGTGTGTGGTTCAAAGGTAGGCATGGTTTCCAATAGTTGAAAAAACAATAGACAGATGCCCAATTTCCCAAATACCAAAACGTACGTATACCAGAAGCTTTGTTTCCCCCTCCACTCCCCATTCATTCTTTCTTTCCCTGCCAAACTCCCATTCTCCTTAACCCACTGTCGCCTTCCCCAACCACTACCAACTCACATGTCACATTGAAAAATATCCAAATAAAACAGCGGTTCTAGCCACGATTAAATTAACGATCCTTTATTCAGATTTCTGACTTTATCTCTAGACTGATCCCTTTCAATAAACATTAATTTGAGGAACCTTATTATTGAAAGAGATCCCCAGCATAGGCCATTTGAAAAGTATGTATTATAGAATGCATGAGTTTCGAAATACTACATAAGAATTCATGCCATGTTAGAAGGCAATACCTAGTGTGCATGAAGTGTGATATATACGGATATATGTCATGCATTGTTCTCATATCCTAATACAATCATACAAAATCTACATTATCGATATAACGAAAAGACAAAAAGAACAACATAATGCAAGAAACTAGTTAGGTATTCTGCAAATCAAGAGACTAATTAAATGCATGGTTGTGATCAAATGACAGAGGCCTAGCCATGAGACATGCATGTACATATATATCAAGGAGCAAGACGTTGGCTTTTTGATTAATGGGCCTTTTACGGGGTGGAGCTAAGTAGGATTAGCATGATAACAACCAACATGATTAGATGGATGGGTGCGTTATCTGTCTGCTGGTCATGTTTAGTTGACACTTGCACACAACTTTTAATTCAAGCTTTGCTAGGCTAGCTACTTCTTTGGAGCGTCTGGTGGGTTCTTGATTTGGTGATGTGAGTGCTATAGATTGTCTAATTTCCACCCCTTTTTTTCCCACTGATTGATGGGAAGTTTTGTGGTATTAATTCAATGGCTTACATGAAAAACTGGTCTTACTTAGCTTAATTCACCATTATGAGCATCCGATCGCTGATACAAGATAAATTTCGACCAGACCAAACACTTATCGACTAAACCATAATGATAGTTGAATCAAGATACACAATTTTAATTGTGTTCTTGATAATTCCAGTTGTTATTTTGCCATTGTTTCTTTAATTGATCAATTACCTAACAAAACACAGCGACACAACCATGTTGGGCAGCCACTCATGAATCACAAAATACAAGGCAATGACAAGAAACTACATCGGAGTACCATTTCATATGTCGAACCCATCATCACTTTCCTCGGAATATTCTTGTTGTCGACAACAATTGCCCAAGTTGTGGTGGGAGGAATTGATCATGAAAATGGAGTATAATGAAGAGGAGGAACCCCACGACGAAGAGATTATGATATATATGTGAATATTGAAGTGGAAGTTCTTTCATATTCCAAGGAAGGAGTGATCCATAAGCTTAATTATCTCTTTAGAGATGAAAAATGAAATACTTGTTCCGAGTGCTATGAGTACTTGGTCAAGAATGAAGTCACCATAATCGCCCTCCGAGTTTTCAGATTAGGCAATTATTTGGTGGGATAAATTGTGTTCTGCAAGAAGATTGTGTAAGGAAGAACCCATAACAACTTGCCATGAGATGACGGTTGTTATGAAGAAGAGATTTATGCCTATTCATCATCTACACGAGCTTCATCCAAGCTCTTCATTATTTGAGGCAAGGTTTGGCGAGTGTGGAAGATTACTTGAAAGAGATGGAGAATCTTATGATTAAGCTCATATAAATGGAGATATATAGGAAGGCTACAATAGCAAGGTTGGTTAATCGAATCGAACAAGTCGTGGATCTTGATGGAACTGGAGGGTTGATAGCCTCAACTGTCCATCCTTGCACTTCTAAAGACATATTAATTATAGATCTTATACAATCCTCATCATTTATCAATTCGTGACCGAATTACGGAAAAATTGATATCCACACCACCTGACCACCATCATGAAGATTGATGAGCATGATAACTCAAATCGTAAGGATCCATCATATTGACAAAATGAAAATTTAGACTAGGATAAAAGTATGAAATTCCAACAACATAAATTCACGATATCAAATCAACTTGATTTAGGAGCAAAAGGGTTGATAGCTTTTTGTCATCTCGTTCCCAATTTTCCCTCGACATATATGCATCTACATATATAATAACCTAAACCAAATATCGAGAAGACAGAAATACATACCTCCATCTTTGAAAACACTTTGAAGAATAAATCTTGTCCAATCCTAATTCACGATCTAAGGTAAATTTGATGTCTAACCGTCATGAAGATTGGAAAATTACAACTCACAAGAAACACACAAAAAACCTAGCTCACAATTAACCTGATCACCATCACATAGCTGCTCGATCGACTCAATACCATAATGAACTCAACCGATACGAGAAGTAGGGGAAGAACAATCACAGACAACCTCCGTGTCTACTTCCCTCCGGTGGAAGTTCCTGTGGCAGCCACAGGCGGCGCACGTCAGAGCCGCCGTCGTCCCTTCCTCACCATTGCTAGCCATGAACTCCCGGCAGCCGTCCACGGCGTACCCGCCGACGTTGGCCGCGTGGTTCTTCTGGCACTCGCCGTACCTCACGCTCCTCACCGTGTAGCTAGACACCGACGACGAGTTGTTGTCTGCCGTGCTACTGCTCCTCGACGACGGCGCCTCTGCCGACGACCTCCTAATCACGACTTGCCTCTTCCTCATGATCGGATGATATGGTTAATTGCTGAATTTGGTATTAGTAAGAAGGAATTGATGGATTTAGGGAAGAGAAGCAAGCAAATGGTTGAAGGAAGAGGAAGGTGGGGTGGAGAGAGATAAGTGTAGATTTTTTTTTTTATGTGTTTAGTTTTAGTGTTGATGAAGCATTGAAAGCCCTAACCCTAGAGGATGGTATTATTTATAGCCAGCTTTTAGCATACTTTTCTCTTTCATCACTATTATTATATTTGAACAGACAGGCTTATCTTCTTGATCACCCTCATATATATAGTTTGAGGTCCATAATCAAAAGTATCAATGATAAAATCAATTAAACTGAGTGTAATTCATATACTAGGTGTTTTAGGTCACTTATTTCACGATGAGGCATTTAAACAAAAAAGAAGCGTTCAGCTTGAAAAAAATAATTATAATTAGCCATTAAAAAATGCAAAAACCATGCATTTGTGACATTTGGAAAAGATAAAGGATCTGCCATTTAGAGGTGTTGTATGGTGTCCCCCATCCAATATATTTCATGGCCAAATGCCTAATTTTGTGCATCATCTTTCAAAATGGTCAATTTTCCAAATAAGTTGTTAAACCATGAGAGTGGTATCTTTATATCGAACATTGCTAGTATGAATTCTTTCTTTCAATTTCTTGGCATTCAAATCATGGTAACCACTGAAATAGATTTTTATATTTCAAGTAGTCGTTGGTACATTTGGTGCTTGTCAAGTGATACATTTTGTTATACACACACATTTTTACTTATCCTGGTACTTTTACATAATTAAACTTCTTATAATTGATTGTACTGCGGCACATGCCCTCACTTTATCATTTCCTAGTACTCTGACTGCATTGCATATCGTTGGTTCACTTTACACGTATAGATTTGTGTGTGTGTGAGGGGAGGGGGAGGGGGGGATACTCCATTAAGAGTATATGTATGTCTATCAAACGCACGATCTTTCACATTCAGATTCCTCGATAATACACATGGGCTTCTTTAGTTCTGCATCAGTATATATAATTGGACTAAATTATTATCTTTCTGCTGGAATAATATTAGTGCGGTTAAATATCTAGTTCTATACTTTTTGTTGTTGTTGTCATATATAGATCGTAAATAGATTAAGTGTTACAAATTGTTCAAAAGTAAAAGACGGTAGTCAATCAAGAATTGATCTACCGATTCAAAAGCTTGTTTTGCCACAAATAAAGTAAAACGAAAAAGAGGCCATTAGTAGCCGAACTTCTTCAAACACCGCTCCACCGCAATCAGGTTGCACATCATTCTCTAAAGCTCGACGAATTACCAATTGAGAGTCAGCAAACAAAATGAAAACCAATCTAGTTCTACACATTCCCTTAATTATAAGCATCTTATAGGGTCCAAGGGCCACATTAAAAAAAAAAAAAAGTAGGTTAGCTCGGGATCCCCGACGGGACCAGTTTGATTGGAACAGGGATAATTAGATCAGTAATAATAATCAAAGCTCTTAAGACCTAAAGAATAAATTTCCCCCCTACTGCTCAGTAGCCCACATTCAGATATCCCTTTCTGCCCTTTTGAAGCTTAGTGCCATTTAATTATTCCGTCTCCTTTAATTATGTCCGCCATCAAACCCCCAAATCTAGTAGTTGTGAAGTGATCACCTAACTGCCCTCTCCTGCAAATGACAACCGCAAATCAATGGGCCTTAATCAATAGAATGCAATAAATTACAACTAGTCTATGGTAATGATAATGAAGTTACGTAATAAAGTGGGTTCAAAGATGAAGGGTGAAAACAGAAAGAGATAAGGCAAAGAAAAGAACCCCAAAAATGATAACAAAGCATTGGGTTTCACCTAAAAGTGTGATTGGTTTGAAATAGAATGACCAGCTCTCTTAAACCTAATTTGACAGCTCTTCTTTGGGGGCCTGATCTCAGAGAGAGCAGAGAAGAGAAAGGGCAAGAACACAAATTTCATAGTATGGGTGCATTGTATATTCCTTATATGGCGCCAACACAACACAGCCCATTCGCTGTTGTAACCCTTCCAATCTTTTTACCTAATAACATGATGCCTCTGTTTAGCAACTTTGCCAAACCCTGCTGCTGTTACCAAACTTGCCACCCTTTTTGTTTCCCCCAACTTGATTCTGACCATCTTTGAGCTTAAATATCTTGGAAATGAGTCTTTGTTTCAACGAAACAGATAGTACAGGATGATGCTCCATGGGCTGGCTGTGGCGTGTTGGATGCACAAGACGGTAAATAACTATCCATAGACCAAACTCTGGGGAGTGGTCAGCGTGACTACCCTCTTAAGGGGGTTTGATTTTTGACACCCCTCTTAGATACCATCCATCTAATCCAATGGTAAGAATTAATCACCTGTTTTTTTAGAGATTGATTACATAATTAATTTCTCTGATCACCACATTGGAAAAGGGAAAGAATATGGGGAAAAAACGGTTCCCACCCACATTGGTTGTACATATATTTGTTCCGTGGTACGTGTATCTGTTCCGTGGTACATGTATCAGTTCACTGGTATATCAGTTCAGTGATACATGTATCATTTCAGTGGTACCACTCCAAAGCATGGTAAAGGAAACCGTACCGGACATCATACCGGATTCCTTTCTGGTATGGTATTTTGTGGTACGACCGTGGTTCAACCGTTTTGTACCGGTAAATACCGTTTTTCACTATTGATAGAGAAATGAAATGCGATAGTATAAAAAATATAATCCATAAAAAAAAGAACCAAATAGAGCATTATACAACCACGGTGACCCATTTTCAACATAGAAAAATAGCAAAATAATATTCTTTTTTAATTATTTTCCACATATTGGACGAGAATACGGAGAAATGAAGCTGAATCATAGACCAGGAAACCGGATCTTACCGGTCGGTTCAACCGGTCAGACCGAAAAAACCGGCCGGCACGGTAAAATCAGCACAATCAGCCCACCGTACTGCTTTTGGTCCAATTTCCGGTTGAACCGGCCGGTACGGTCCGGTTTCCTGGTCTATGCTCCAAAGTCTATCTAACACTGAAATGGGAACATTTAGGATGAGTTTCGATTTTGACTAACGGGGTCGGATATTTTGTACAAGTGCGTAAACCAATTCGATACGTAAACAAGCTAGCAACTTCCCATTAGTATCACCACTAATCGTGGAGTAGAATATGTTATCAAAAAAGAAAAATGCCAACAATAATAAAATATCCAGCCAATGCAACAAATAAACATGAAGTCACTATGAAATTGTTTGTGGGAAGTCTAAACCAAGGGAAATCAAGTATAGCCTTTCTATCTTCTGAACCGCACGTCGTTTTTAGTCGCTCCCTGTTGTGAAGTGCAACTATATAGCGTCTGGCAAACGACAACACTGTCGTGAACATGTACCACTAATCTGGTACATATACCAATGAATTGATACATGTACCACTGAAGTGGTAACCTGATACAAGTAACCGTGCAACTATTCAAGTCATAATTTTCACACCAAAATGTGACCACCCACTTGCAATGTTAGATATAATGTACTCGTATCATTAGCAAAATCAAAACTCATCCTAATTATTCTCATTGTAGTGTTGGATATACTTTGGAGTGGTACCATTGAAATGGTACATGTATCACTCAACTGATAGACATACACTAGTGAACTGATACACATATCATTGAACTGATACATGAACCACTTAACATATATGTTTACTACTGAAAGTATATATGCACAACCAATCTGATACGTAAACAAACAAGCAACTTTCCATTAGTACACCACTAACCGCGGAGAAGAATGTGTTCTCAAAAAAGGGAAATGGAAATAAAAAATAATATCCAGCCAATGTAATAAACAAAAATGAAGTCACTAGGATATTGTTTGTGCGAAGCCTAAATAACGACAAATCAGGTGTCGAAGGATGACTGCGTCACTTGGGTAATGCAATGGAAAAACATAATTTGAATTATAGAGTTGGGGTTGCACTTCTTGCTGCTAAGATAATCAGTACGTTTCCTCTTCCCCATAACTCGTTGTCCATTATCCTGGATTTCACGAAATCGCTTCTTGCTGGTACCCGCACTTAGGGGTGGTAGTTCGGTTATCGGTTAATTGGTCGGTTAAATCGATTACCGGTCGGTCCACTAACCGGTAACCAAACTTCGGTCGTTTATCAGAGGCTAGACGAAATGCTTTTTGGTCTTAAAAGTGGGTCGGTTATATGGAAAAACATAATTTGAATTATAGAGTTGGGGTTGCACTTCTTGCTGCTAAGATAATCAGTACGTTTCCTCTTCCCCATAACTCGTTGTCCATTATCCTGGATTTCACGAAATCGCTTCTTGCTGGTACCCGCACTTAGGGGTGGCAGTTCGGTTATCGGTTAATTGGTCGGTTAAACCGATTATCGGTCGGTCCACTAACCGGTAACCAAACTTCGATCGTTTATCAGAGGCTAGACGAAATGCTTTTTGGTCTTAAAAGTGGGTCGGTTAACCGATAACCGAGAAACCAAAGCATATTTCAGGCGGTTTTCGGTAGAGGGAGTGGTTATTTCGGTTAACCGATAACCAGCTGATCGGTTATTGGTTATAACCGAAATGCCACCCCTACCCGCACTCGAGAAATGATCCTGACCTAACCCATTTTCTTCATTACAAAAACAAATAGCTTCCATGCCTCTTCCCTCTAGGCACTCAAGGATACGGTCTCTTCATCCTGGCCAGTTCTGTAGACAATAATTAGCACTATCAATGCAGTGATAGAAATACAAATCAATAAGTAAGACAACTATCACTACAGTGGTAGAATTAGCAATACATTTTTGTACCTGCTGACTCCTTCCGAGCACCTGCAAGAAGTGCCACTGCACTGGTAAGACATATCAGTTCACTGGTAGAAATACCACTAGACTGGTAAGACACATCACTTCACTAGTACAAATACCACTTGAGTAAAAAGGTTAACATTGATAACATTCAACAAAAACTCAAACACTACAATTATCATTGGAGTGGTAACATTACCACAAGAAAAAATAGATCTTAGTGGGTATGAGAGAGAAAAACTAGATTTATAAGGAATAGTTAAAAAATCACAAATCTAGAAAAATCCAGGATAATGATAAACTACCAGTACACTGGTACCAATACCAGTACTCACATATGAGTATAATCATAAACTACCAGTTCACTGGTATCAATATCAGTTTCACACCAAAAACCCATATCTGGGTATGGGAGAGAGAGACAGTAGGGGAGAGAGAGAGCTACCTCAGATTCTTCGTCGTCGTCGACGGGAAGGGGAGGATGGCCAGTGTAGGAAGGGGAGACGGGTCGTCATCTTTGCCGGGAAGCTGAGGAGGGTCATCGTCTTCTCCGTCGATCCCTTCACAGTGCCAAGCTTGTGGAAGGAGATGGAGAGTTACGGCAAGCTTGGCGTTGCTCGGAGAACAGCGGCAGTCACCATCTAAGACATAGCCCACGACGGAGGATGATGTACGGAGCCGGAGGAAGATCTTGACTGTGACGGTGAAGAGGCGACGACGTCGAGCAGGGGAAGAGAGAATCGAGGGAGAGAGGAGGAAACGAAAGGGAGAGAAAAGGGGGGGGGGGGAGAAGAAAAGGGTTTTAAATTTGGGGTGTGAATCGTTTATTTCTATATTCTTTCCCTTTTTCAATGTGGTGAACTGGTGATAGAAATTACTTATATAATTAATGTCTAAAAAATTAGGTGATTAATCTTTACCATTGGATTAGATGGATGGTATCTAAGAGAGGTGTCAAAAATCAAACCCCCTTAAGAGGGTAGTCACGCTAACCGCTCCCCAAACTTTGTTTTGTTCTCGTAAGTATAGATCGAACCCTCTAACCTCGTAACTAATGAATAAGCTGACCAATCACCATTGGATTAGATGGATGGTATCTAAGAGAGGTGTCAAAAATCAAACCCCCTTAAGAGGATAGTCACGCTAACCGCTCCCCAAACTTTGTTTTGTTCTCGTAAGTATAGATCGAACCCTCTAACCTCGTAACTAATGAATAAGCTGACCAATCACCATGACACCATCTTTTGGATATTCTGAGTCTACTTGGTACACAGAATGGAATTGGGCAGGGGAATCTAGATTATTGTGTTGCTATGGCCTATGAGATGGAGGAGTATTGTCCCTTGTGGAGAAAAGAACAACTGTAAACACTAACTTAAAGGCAAGTGGCTTAAATGTCGAAGGAGTTAATGTGAAATGAACCAGGTTGCTGCTTTACAATACAAAATTAACAAGAATTATCAATAAATAACGAGGACAACATAGGAAAATTTAAAAGAGTATAGGATAGTTTTGTAATTTATTTTCGTGGATTTTTATCCTATAAAAAAATTTCACCCAATTGGATGAGATTTTATAGTTAGTGGACCCAAGAAGTTTGGTTCCAAAATAATCCAACATACATAGATCTCGCAAGTCATAATTCAACACCATTTTAATACCAAACATGGATTTTAAGCATGATCTCATAGGTGTGGGATTTTGGACCAAAATCTCAAGAGCAAACAACCCCTTACTTTTTACCTTTTTCCCTCTTCTCATATAGTTTCACGGCCCCTAAATATAGTTTTTTTACCATTCGATTACTCTAACCTCGAGGAAGGATCCAATATCGATAAAAGTACAAATACATATTTAAAACCTATCTAATATGTAACCAAGAAAAGAAAGATCCCAAAACCGGTGGAGGAGAGAGATCGCAGCGCGGTGGAGGAGAGAGAGAAAGAGAAAGGCAGTGACGTCTGTGGAGAGAGAGATGGTGGCGACGACGGTGGAGGGCAGAGAAGCGATGTCAACGACGGTGGTGGAGGAGAGATAAACACCGCCAAAGGCAGATTTGTCGGAGAACTGCAGCGGTGGCAACAATGGAAGGGGGGGGGGGCGACGGCGACGATGGAGAGAGGAAGGAGACCTCAAAGGCGCCGACGGCGATGGAGAAAGGGAAAGGCGATCGCGACGGAGGCAGCAACGTTGGAGAGAGAGAAAGCAGATCTGGTCGTCGTCATCGGGAAAACAGAGGAGATAGAGACTATGGTAGTGGAGAGAGCGAGGCAGTGGAGGAGAGAGAGCGTCGACGACAATGAAGGAGAGAGAAGCGGTGCGGTGATGGAGGAATAATTATAAAATAAAGAGTGAAAAAGAAATCATATATTATGTCGGACTGTAAAAGGTTGAACCGAGTTTGGTTAGCTTTGGTTTGGGCTTCCAGCAACGCAAATCTATGCCACATAGAATGCCACGTGGCCCAATAGAATATAGCTTCACCGGTTCCACACTTTTATCTACGACATCGTAGTATTGACCTTGTCTATAAAACTATAATTGACTAAGATGGTGAAGGTTTGGGCCTGACCCAGCAATTTAAGCCCATATTGGGTGGCGGGTTGAAAGCCTGGCGTGCTTCAGCTTTGGACTCTAGAACGGGCCCAACTCCTTCCTCTTCCTAACTTTACATCCATGAAATGAAACCATGTCTGTAGTATTACCGTATACGTTACTGTCACACCAAAAGAGAAACCCTCGCAACATTAACCAATTGACGCTGACGGGGTACCATATGGAAAATATAAAATATAAAATTTCAATATTTCAATGGCACTTCATTTATGTGATTAAAATCTGATATCATTGGATAAAACTGATATCATTGGATTGCATTTGATGTGATTAAAATCTCACTAATCCAACGATATCAATCCTATCTGCATCTTCATTTCCGAGCTCATCAGTCCATTCTGGGAGCAATATTGTAAATAAAATAGGGAAAATGATAATCAACGAATTTTTTAGTCATTACCCATCTATTAGCTGCCAGTAAAAAAAAAAAAGATTAAAAATGAATTGTTTTTATACTCGAGCACCGCAGTAAGAAACTCATGTTAATTCCCAAGGGCGGTCAAAAAAGTTCCTTCGTCGAGTAGCCATTTCTCGAGCAACGACAAGCTCGCCTCGTCCGGATCAGACACATCCTCGCACCCTTCTTCCACCTTGAACGACGTCGTTGCTGTTGTAGTCGCAGGAGGAGAGCCGCTTAGCGAAAGATCATAGGAACAATTCGAAGCCCCGTCGCCCGACCCGAACCCGAGCAGAGCATTTAATGCGCGACCCGGTAACTCGACCACCGAGTCCACGCCACCACTAGCGGGCATCGACTCGGCCGAGTCGTTGCTAGTAGGCTTGTTTTTCATCCAGCCTTTAAGCAACCTGGCGATATTGTCGGCGCTGGACGCGTACGCCGAGGAGGAAGATGTGGCCGTCGGCGGGGGAGATATGGCGTGGGAGAGGGCGCGGCGGGCGGTGTGGATGTCGGATTGAAGCCTTCTCTCCCATTGGCCTCTCGAGGGTTTCGTAGCTTTCCTGCTGGAAGACGAGATCGATGAATTAGCCGACGAGGAAGTCGACGGCGAGGCAGACGGAGAAGAGGAATCGCTATTGTTCATCATCGACAGCTTCTTCTTGAGATGGGTGTTCCAGTAGTTCTTGATGTCGTTGTCCGTTCTCTCCGGGAGGTACGAAGCTATGGCTGCCCATCTGCCCCCAAATTCGAAAGTAGGATTATTTTATTTATTAATTAATTAAGTGGAACAGACATTCTTAATTCCCTCTGCTTGGTAGTTTAATTAAGGGAGTGTACGTAGCTAGTTAGGTACCTGTTCCCGAGAAGGGCTTGGAGATGGATGATCATCTTCTCTTCGTGGTCAGTGAAGTTGCCGCGCTTGATCCCTGGACGGAGGTAATTAGTCCATCGAAGCCGGCAGCTTTTGCTGCATCTCAGCAGCCCTGCAAAAAAAAATTGATGGAAATCCATTGAACGAACACATTAGTCTTCAGAAAGCGGTATCCATTGCAACCGGTTGGTTTCTTTAGTGACCAACTTTTATGGTTCATTACACAGAAATCAGCAATGAGTATGGCAAAAAAAAAAACAAAAAAATACCAGTGTGGGTGGGGACGGCTCTCCAGTTGCCAGGGCCGTGCTCCTGAATGTAAGAGACGAGGAGGATGTCCTCTTCAGGAGTCCATGGGCCTTTCTTCACCCCAGCCTTGTCACAGCATGGTGGTCTCCCCATTCTTCAGATCAGATCAGATCCTTCCCCTTCTTCTAATTGGATTCCTCACCTTTCTCTTCTTCTTGTTTCTTGTTTGGAGAAAGAAAGCAGATTGCTTGCTTGCTGAGATGCGCAGGTGGATTCTAAAGGGTACTGTGACTTGTGACTTGTGAGAAAATTGGGGAGAAAGGAACGGTGAAAGTGCATTTATAGAGAGAGAGCACATTGCCAAATGCTGACATTAATAAATGGGGAAGGGGGGAAAGAGACAGAGTGGAAAGGGTGTGGGAGGTGGCAGAGAAAGAGAAAGGAGGAGAGTCAAAATGACAGCAAAAAATGGGATGCATAATGAGGGGAGTGGAGGCCAAAGTCAGCTGTGTGAGAGACCAATGCTCTTTCGAAACCGCGTGGGCATTCAATGTGGCCTTGCTGCTGCTGCTGCATTCAATTTCAGAGAGAGAGAGGCTTCTCTTAATTCAATTGGAAAGGGCTGATTATAAGATTTATTTCTTCCTGCTTTCTACACTAGCTAGCTAGGGTAACTAGTGTCGAGTGTCGACACAAAGCTCTCTGGTTGGTTGGTGATGTTAATTAATAATGGAGTTTGAGTTGGTGATTGTGGTGATCATAATCCTGCTGCTGCTTGCATGTGCAGTTAATATGAGCGAGAAGACGAAGAAGAAGAAGAAGAAAGGATGATGGTGCTGGCTGGCAGGCAGGCACAGCAAGATTGTATAATGCCGCCCGCAATATCCCCAAGGACTTTTTCCACCCTTTAATAATGAGGAGGGATTATATTTGCCATTATATTCCTTAAATTGGACTCATCTTGAGCTTGACTTTTGTAAACTGTCTTGTCATTTTCTGTCCATGTACTTTAGCTAGCTACTTTGTTTTTGCTCAGAGGATGCGTTTCGATTAATTGAGTAGCTCATGACTAATTAAAGTTACTAGGTTGTGATTAGTGGCGGAGCCAGGAAATTGGCCAAGGGGGTGTCTTTATCATATCATAAAAAATCACATATACAATAGAAAAGTCAACTTTAAATTAAACAAAAAGTCAACAACGCAATACTCTAAATTCACACAATTACATTAAAATAGTTTCACGTACACCGGTTACAACGTCAAACAAATAAGTTCTGTACATACAAATCAAGACTTCCATTCATCAAATATTACAAATTAGAACTCAGAAGTACCTTGGAATTGATTTTGTGAAACAAACAAGTGAACTTCAATTGGTACTTCTTCACTTTCAACTTTGTTTAAACAAAAGACAAGAAATTTCTCTATTGTAGAGCTATAAAAAAAATGAGCGAATTTAAACAAAAGACAACAATTTATTACTATAAATAAAGACGAAAGTGCATTACATAACAAAACTCACTCGATCGAAATGATAAGAAATTCTTCCTGCAACTGAATAGTCATTGGTTCGAATTTGTATATACCCCTACTCGGAAATTTTTTCTCCAAACCCAAGAGGGGTGCAAAGCACCCCCTCCTCTCCAAGTGGCTCCGCCACTGGTTGTGATGCCGCGACCAATTTGAGTTTTAGGAGATAATCACTAATTTTTTTATATCGATTTGAATTGTGGACCATATCAGTGGACTATATAACAAATCAATTTCAGCATTTTTTTCTAAATTATAATGGGATTTGAGTCTCATTCATCGTTTGTTACTACCTCTCTCTAATCTCTCTCCTATCTGGTTTTTTCTTCATCCTCAAATAGTTATATTCTCTTACCCATATAATATTGGTTTTATCCCATACTTGTATCTATGTAATCCTTACTTACACCAATGCTCACCTCATTACTATAAGGATTACCCGTGGCCGAGGTTGTCCTGAAGCAGATCACCCCGATGCCTATAATGAAAGGACAGACTTTCATCAGCTGCAAACGGGAAGCGGTTTTTCGTTAGTGCGTTAAGGTTACAAGAATCGAGTAGAAAACTAAAATCATGTCCACATCCGATATTTCGATATCCATGGCTATTCATGAATAATAATTTATTTTTGTTACCTATATAAAAAAAATTATCTGTATTACTCTAACCCATTGGCGGACCCAGAAAATATATTAAGGGGATTCAATAAAAAATTTAAATAAAATTAAATATTAATTTACCAAGTTTTTTTCATAAAGTACATTAATTTGCTGTTTCTCTTTAGGTGAATCGGGACGTATTTTTTTATTTTAAAAATTAATATAATATATAAAAATAATGGCAAGACATAAAAAAGTAAGCGTTTTAAGTTTTAAAGAGCGATTCTGATTATATTAGTTAAGAAAAAGTGCGACACTATTAGTCACCACTTCAAAGTGAATGTATAAGAAAATGAAATAAAATCCACTTATGAAGCTCTACCAATTACTCAAAGTTACAAAACTCAACTTGTATGTTCTTCACAATGTTAGTCACCATTTCACTGCGGATACCATTGATCATTTATGACTTTTTTTTCTTCTTCTTACGTAAATCTACATGTTCAAGTATCAAGAATATATGGTTGGTGCAAATACCAGAAACGAGATCTCTTGATGAATCAATAATGTTGTCAAACGTCTCATGCATGAGTGGCCGGATTCCACATCAAGAGGGGATTTTGGTGAGCAATAAAATCATTTACATGAATTCTGACACACACATAACATACCAGTGATTGTCATTGGAAAGCAACAGAGATTAATAAATAAATAAATAAAAGGATTATAAAGATATATGCACATCCCATTTCCACTGAAATTTTCCTGCAAGTAAAAAACAAAGATATAATATGTGAATGGAAAATAAGTTACATTTGGGTGCACCAATAATTCAACAATAATATGGCATGTACATAATTATGGTGATCATGCATGGAATGGATGTCTATTATTACAAAGAGAGAGAACACATGGATTGGCAGATTGGCGAATGAACTGAAATCCCACAGTAAACCTCTTCATTGCCCACATGCAATTGCAAACGCTATGGCCTATGAAGAAAGATGATTTTGCGCCTAATTATAAACAGTTTTTTTTTCCCCCGATGGATCTCTTTCATTGCATGTTCATTGAGTATGTGTATCATTTATGTCCATGTCCCCTTGACTCTTTCGTCTTTAATTTGCTGGGGGCTTCTTCATCTAGAAAATTGATGACGTAGAGAGTTAGTTGTTTTAGTAGACTAACACACACTCAAATTTCGTTGTTGCATAGTTGATTATCCAGTGAAATTTTTTGTGTTTCAAGTAAATCTGTAAAGATTAATCTTTTATTCTAATTAAATAGAAGGTTTCTCTTGCTTATATTGATTTTACACGGATTATGAGACTTTGATAATACTAATGTAAAACAACCAAAGATATAGGGGTAGATTCCATGTTTGTTCACTGGGTTTACTAAAAAGTGTCATGTTTAGTCACTAGAAATATTTAATTTCAATGTTGGTCACTCGAATTAATAAAACAGTCCATGTACGGTCACTCAAATCAGTCAAACAGTCCATCTTTAATCACTCTCCGATGGATTGTTTGACTAATTCGAGTGACCAAACATGGACTTTTTGACTAATTTGAGTGACCAAACACGAACTGTTTGACTTATTCGAGTGACCAAACATGGACTGTTTGACTAATTTGAGTGACCAATATTGAAATTAAATATTTCTAATGTCTAAATATGACACTTTTTAGTAAACTCACTGACCAAACATGGAATATATATACTGTTATGGGTCAATCAAAGTACCACATCGGTAATATAAGGGAAGAGGCTCTTGTATATTAGTGTCCACTTTGCCCAATTAGTATGAGGCCTTTTGGGGAGGACACCTCAGAATACATCCGTGCGGGCTTGACCCAAAGCGTACAATATCGCTCTAATGGAGCACCATGATTTGACAAGTGGTATCAGAGTCTAGTTCGGCGGATCCGGGGCGGTGGACGTCAGTTTGGTGGGATCCTCATTCGGTGGACCTCGGGATTTGAGATCTGCGTTTGTCTGGCGGGTCAACGGTGGCTTTGGCGGATCAAAGAGAGTTCCGCAATTGGGAAAAAGATCAAAGAGAGTTCTGCGTCTGGTAAAGTTCTTTTAGCGAGAAGCCCATCGATACAAGGCGTCTGGCGAATCAAGATAATCTCTGAGTAGAGGACACAAAGTTCGTGGTCCTTGCCTCGAGGGGAGGATTGTTATGGGAAAATCCAAGTATCACATCGAAAATATAAGGGAATGAACCCTTGTATATTAGTATCCACCAAGCTCATTAATACGAGGCCTTTTGAGAAGGAACCCAAAAGTAAAACCGTGCGGGTTCGACCTTTAGCGGACAAAATCGTGTACTAATTGAGCTACTCAATTTCGACATATACCAATAGATTAAATATCATAAATGAGAAAGTTAGACTCGTATTTGATTATTATGAATAAATCCTCCTATAATATATAGCCGTTCTCCGGCTAATTTTCTCCCTTTTGAAATCCTTGGCTTCTCCTGCATTGTCGCTAGGGGCAATTGTGGAAAGTAAATTGTCTTAGTGGATCCCTTATATTTTATTATTCGAAAAATCAGTATACACGTCCCTGCAATTGCTCAATATCCCTTCGTCTACACCTCATTCCAGCGACTCTCAACCGCTCATTTTCCCTTCTTCCTCACCCATACCAGCGACGCATTCCGACGGTGCCGCTTCTTCCCAATCTGCAACTCAGCCATGCTTAATCGCCCCTGCAACCGCTAATTGTCCCCTTCGTCCTCACCTCATACCAGTGGCCGACAAATTCCATATCATCGCGGAATTAGAATTCAGTGGTTGATTCGTCTTCGCCAGTGACTTCCCGACTCTTCCCGATCCTCTCGGAATCCCTTCCAGAAGAGTTTGCTGGGTCAACCCGAGACTGCTAGGTCTGATGCCCTTTCAGATCCTTTTCGTCCTTTTCCATTTTACTTGATGTTGATGATAATGATGATGATGATTCTAGATAATTTCAGGTTGGAATCGGTCACAAGGGATAATTTTATTGATGTATGCTTGCTTTCACGAGGGTAGAATTGATGATGGTGCTGCATATTTTAGGAAGATGGTCGATTCAGGGCTGAGAACGGACTTGCCTGTTTATGATAGACTGGTTGATCAGTTGGTTAAGGCTGGGAAGATTGACGAGGCAAAATAGTTGTACGAGCTGATGGTGAAGAAACAGAGGATGAATAATGAGAGCTATAAGTTCATAATGAAAGCACTAAGTGATCATGGGAGGTTGGACGAAGTGCTTCAATTGGTCGATGCAATGTTGGATAACGAGGCTATCAACGTGAATGAGGAGCTTCAGGAGATAGTGAAAGGCGAGTTGAACAAGGAAGGGAGAGGAGACGAACTAGACAATCTTATGGAAGAAAAAGCTAGGCTAAAGGCTGAAGCGAAAGCGATAGAAGGGCGAAAATTATCATTGCTAATCTCTTTCCACCTAAGAACAAGAAAGAGGAGACAGGATCTGCAGAGGGAAATGATGTTAATGCTAATGAGGCAGCTCCTGCTGCTGCAGAATCTGCAGCGGGTGAAGACCAACTCATAGAGAAAGCAGAATCTGTTGATGCAGAAGACTCGAGGGACGAGGTAAGAGCTTGAAAGATGGTGAAGTACTGTTCTTTGCCACCCCTTTATCAAGCCATGTTAAGGTCATTCATCTGATTTTGCTATATATTGCTGCCATGTAATTAAACAATAGCTGGGAAATGAGGTGGGAGTTTGAATTCTAGGCGCAGTGAGTAGAATGTGGTTACTTTGAAGGATTTCAATGTTGGATGATACCCAAGTTTGTAGTTGCGCCTTCTGTTAATTTCTATGTGCACTTCCATAAGTTGTTCTGTTCTGCAATTACCTGCTGCATTTGGTTGGATATTGATTGACCTTCCTTCGGCTCCTGATCTATTGCTACGGTGGCGATTTGAACAATCTATGGTACATATATAAAATATCTTTTTTCGGTACTTTTTAGTGCCAATTCATTGTTATCTCACTTTCCTCTGTTTGGTGTTTCTCCTCTCTGATATCTCTATACTGGTTGTTCTTCTGTCAGTGAAACTCCATGGTTTTGTGCGAGCCGAACGGGAGCTTTGGATTGGCTTACGACGTCATCGGGGTCAAAGATTTTGAATCTCTGTTGTCTACGGGTCGATTAAAAGGTGAGCCCTCTGGATCAGTTTACCATCCCCAAGTCTTCGATTTGTTTGTCAAACAAAAATTGGAGTTTTTTACCCAGCCATTGATTTCAATTGTCAATAGGGAACATGAATCTCTTATGCCTACTGTCGCTTTAGTTCTCAATCTGTAACTGGAAACCTTGACCTCATCCATTGATTTCTTTCTCAAGAGTTGGGCACGTGATTCCCCAATCCCAATTGTGGTTTTAGTACGCGATCAGGTACTGGAATTGCCGCCCTTAACTTACATTACAATATTTCTTTGGTTCATTTTGACATGACCGTAATTGAAGTTCTGTCCTTTCAATTGGTGAGTTCATTTTTGCTTTCAGTGAACATCCTTACAAGTAATATTTACTTTCCGTTGTTTCCTAATTAACTGTCTTTGCTTGCCCGTTGTTAGATCTTTTGAGTTTAATATAACTTGACCCTGTTAGATGTAGATGTCTTCTAACAATTAATTTGGTTTTGTTTTGTTAGCCATTGTTTAGTAGGAGCGTTTGAACCGAGATTGTGTTGAGTGCTTTAATGATTTTGTAAATAGTGTAAATTATTGTTTCGGCAGTGCTTGCTTGAGCAATTGTTTGAATATTAGACAGTGCCTCTAAAATTGATAGAAGTTAATCAGAAGGTTGTCATGCTCTATGGTATCATTTCGGTAGTGCCCCAGTCATAGGTTTCTTCGTATTTTTTTCATTATCCATAGTTTTGTAATTCCTACCGCCAAGTTGTTTTGTGTTTCTCGATTTCATAGCTGATGTGGGAGACATATTCATGTCCAGCCATTCCATTTGCCTTTTTTGTAGTTGTTTATGTCGTTCATTGATTCACTTGCATTTTTGAGCTGTCATGTTGTTGCATTATGCTGCCAATTGTCCTGTTATCAGTTTCAGATATATGTATGTTGGTTTCCTGATGGTGATTTCTGAAAATCAGTAAGTGATTCAATCTATGCCAAGGCGCGAGGTTGTTTCAGTTTTGTGTTGTAGATATATTTGTCGGTTACGTGTTCGTGTCTCTGTTCTGCTTGATCAAATAAGTTTGAACTTGGCGTGATTTCTGAAATACTATTAATTTTTACGATTTCTTGGTCTGTGGCGGGTTGCAGCAGGGAGTTGCCTTGACATACGCTACTTCAAGGGCTCCTTCCGTCATTTTCAGGCCTCAGGGATTTCAAATTCTCTGGCTTCTCCTTCAAAATCTACTTATGGTTTTTGAGAATCCGCCCAATGAAGTGTGTTTGACATTCAGCCTGTTTGGATTGCTGCTGCATTCAGGATTTCAGGTATGTTCGTTTATTCTTCTACTTCTTCTTCTTTCAATATTTTGATCTAGGTTCCTTACCTGAGCCCTTTAATATCGCTTTGTAATTTTCATGAGTAACAACCCCTTGAGAGGTTTCTAGGTTTATCAGACATTCTTCCGGTTGGGGAGGCAACAACAAGCAGATAGGTTCCAACCACTTCTGGTAAGACCAACTGCTTCTTCTACGTTTAGAAGCAATCATCTTCGGTATGTTTTATGTTCTTGGTTTGTGTGAGTTACCTGCAAACTACTGGTTTAAGGAGATTTTGAAACAAGAATGTGAGGAAGGGGGCGAATGAAGAAGAAGAAGCTTGCCTCGCGGTTTGAACTGTCTTGCTTCATTTCCTGTGGAATTCAGCTTCACAACAGCACCAAAGCAACATGATTTTTCTATTCTGCTGAATTGGGATCCTTATGTTCATGAAACTGTCAACGATTGTCATATTCTGGTACATTTTCTTCCCTTAACTTCTTTCCGTTTCATATTTTATATATGCTTGCTAAAAAAGTTTGCTTTAATGTTTCCTGTGTACAGTGCAATACATCAAATTTCAACCTCAAAGGTTCAGGTGGTCAGAGGTAGTGGCCGATTCCTCATATACTATTTTCTCATCTCTTGGGTGGCTTTGATCTAACTCTTTTGCTTCCATTTCAAAATTGATTTCAGGACTCAGTCACACTGTCACACATCACAATCGACACAAACTCCTTCATATTCATTGGAGCAGTTAATTGGATTGAAGCAGGAATATTGGCTTCTAGCTAGGGGTGGACGTTCAGGTTCGGTGTTCCGGGTAACCCGGATCCAAAACCAAAAGTGTCGGGTATCGGGAAACTGAAAACCGATGCATCAAAAGAAAAATCGGGTCTGGTTCCTAATATGGTTGTGTTTTCGGGTTTCGGTTAAACCCAGAACCGAAACCAAAACCTAACGGAATCGAGGTGGAACCGAGGAGAGGTTCCTAAGGTGGGGCGGAAGAGTCCGCTGCTCCTCTCCGGCTCTAATCGCTGCCGCTACATAACGGAAGTCGGCGATGGTGATGAATCGGTTGGAAGGCGGGATTGGTGAGGGAGGGAGGAGGAGCTAGGTGGATGGCTACACCGATGGAGTAAAGGAATCAAGAGTGAGGGGCGAGGGAAATTGTGTCGGCAGTGGGAGAGATTAGTACTCGGGTACTCGAAGAAGAACCATGAACCATTAAATTCGGTTCACGGGTATCCCAAATAATTAATTATATTTATTATAGCCTCTATTTTATATAACATTTTTCTCCCAAATTATTAATGAATTTCTTATGTTAAATATTTTTCTTTGAAATGTATACTCATGAACATATCCATCCTGTTTTGCACCCAAACTAAAATACTCAACTTGCCATCGTATGGTTTTGAGAGATTGAGAATTTTGGATTTGAGAGATTGAGAATTTTGGGCGGTATAACGGATACATAATATGATAGTATATAAACCAAATAAAAAATTTACCTGCCAACGGGCCGGGTGAAAATATACATAAGATTGCTTGATCACATTCCGTGCCATACTTATACCAACAACAACAACTTTATATTAATCTCATCCGGCCAACGGGCCGGTCATTATGCTAGTAGATAAAATGTTTTATTTCTCCAAGTAGAAATTCCATCTTCCTCCCTTCTTCTCAACCCCATGCATTTGCATTCCTCCCTCCATGCCCTGCAACAGACGTGCGTGATCTACTGACCTCCTTCGTTTTCCAATAATTTTCTCGGCCCACGTTTCTTTCTTCCTTTTGTTTTTATTCACTCCACAATAGCGTGGTCCCCTGAGAGGCTGAGACCAAACAACGGATTGGGCCCGATGAACGAACCCATAGTCCTTCAACGAAAGAAAAAGAAGTTTCAGATGTGACCGGGCCGGGCCAGAAGTATATTGGGTTAATCTACTAACTCTATTCCACTTGTCAGTCTATCCATCCATCAACTTTGATGTCTGGTATTTTTTTTTTTTTTTTTTGAAAAGTGATTTCATTCATTCCCCAAAGAGCAAAGTTACAGCAAAGCATCAACAACATTTAGTACATGGAGCCACTCAGGATGAAGGCCATTAAGTCTACAGTTCCGAGCAACCCAATCGGCACATTTGTTGTTTTGACGGCTCGTGAAAGAAACACTAATCCCCGTCGAAAGATGTAGGATTCTGGAAATGGAGGACAGAGCTGCGTAACATCGCCAAGGCCAGTCAGCAGGCTCACCGTTAAGAGCATCCACCAGAACTTTGCAATCGGACATGATAACTGAGGGAGACGGGTCTTCAAGTGCACAATGGCAAGCTTCAAGAATTGCATGTGCCTCTGCTTCAATTGGGGAAGAACAAGAGATCCTTCCAGCCTTTCCATCACAAATCTGTCCATTGGAGTTAGTAATAACTAATCCAAAAGCCGCCTCCTGTGTCATATGATCAAAAGAACCATCACAGAAAATCCTTTTCTGAGGAAACAATGGCGGTGGGCATGATTGTGGTGGAATGTTTCTAGGCTGTGTGAAGGAAGGAACGGGAGGAGGATTGTAACAAGGCTCAGCTGCATCTCTGAAGGCGCAAATGGCGGTCAAAGATGGGGCTGGGACGACCCTTCTGAAGATGAACTCATTACGAGCTTTCCAAATATTCCACAAGCAGAAGATCTTCTTTCGACACATATCAAAGATATCCTCCTCCCTCAGGGAGAAAATCCATTGAGTGAGGTTAGGAGGAGCACCGAGGGAGGGGAACATCTTGTGCCAGGTGGCAGCAGCATGTGGGCACAAGAAGAGGCAGTGAAGAGCATTTTCCTCAGGCCCACAGCAAAGCTGACAGGAAGGGCTTGGAGCACAATGTCGACGGTGAAGGTTAAGCTTCGTAGCAAGAGCATTTCGTAAGCATCTCCACATGAAGAAGCGGATCTTGGGTGGGAGCTTCAAGGACCAAAGCCATTTCCATTTGTCGTCATCAGCTGGTAAGTTAATGTCGTTGACCTGCGGCTGATTCTGATCTTTTAAGTGCTTCCTTATCCCATGGTAGGCAGTCCGCACAGAGAAATCCCCAGAAGAGTTAAATTTCCATGCCCACTTGTCCGGGGAACCTTCTGGGCCAATCTGGATACGAGAGATAGCATCGGCTTCTTCCGGTGAGCAGTGACGTTGAATGAGGCTCATGTTCCACTTCGATCCATCTTCATTCTTCCAGTCGCACACCCGAGAAGGGGGGTACATCTGAGACGAGATCTTGTGGCTTTGAAGGGTGTGAACCCAAGGGTCTCTATGGAAGACAGTATCCTCTCCTGAACCGATGACACGGATCGTGCCCAAATCCAGAGCTTTCCTTGAATCACACAAGCTTGCCCAAATCCATGACGACCTATTTCCCTTCTTGGCCGAGAGAAAATGACCATTAGGGAAATAAAGTCCTCGCATCAAACGAGCCCAGAGGGCTTCCGAGTCGTTAAGAAGCCTCCATCCCTGTTTAGCAAGCAGAGACAAATTAAAGAGGTTAAAATTCCGGAATCCCACCCCGCCCTCACCTTTGGGATCATTCAGGACATCTCCTTTTCTCCACGGGATCGAACGCTTTTTCATCGATCCTGACCAGAAGAACCTGTGAATAAGAGAGTCCATTTTCTTGGTAAGAGTGGCCGGGAGAAGGAAAACACTCATTATGAAAGTTGGGATCGCCTGAAGGACAGCCTTGATCAACGTTTCCTTCCCCCCATGCGAGAGCGTGAGGCTCTTCCATGAATCACCTCTTTTTTCCATTCTTTCGAGGAGGAATGAAAAAGTTTCCTTCTTCGATCTTCCCCATTCGGTTGGGACTCCCAAGTATTTGTCATGGCAGATTGAAGAAGGAAAACCGAGAAAAGTGGTGATGGAAAGTCTCAAAGACGAAGGAGTGTTCTTGCTGAAGAAGACCGAAGACTTTTCCATGTTCACTTCCTGTCCTGTTAGCGATTTGTACTTGTCAATGATGTGGATAACAGCCTCAGCTTCCTCAATAGAGGCTTTCCCGAAGACAACAGTGTCATCTGCAAACAAACAGTGAGAAAGACGAGGGCAATTAGGTTTGATTTTTAACCCCTGAAGAACCCCTTCAGAAATCCCTTTATCCAACAAAAACGACAAAGCATTTGACATTAAAATAAAGAGGAAAGGGGATAAAGGGTCTCCCTGACGAATGCCACGCGTGGGGGAGAAGCATTCAGTGGGGCCACCATTCACCAAGATCGAGAACCGAACCGTCCGGATGCATTCTTTTACCCATCCACACCACTTATTGCTGAAACCATAAGCCTCCAGAAGGGCATCCAAACAGTCCCAGTCAACAAGGTCGAAAGCTTTCCTCATGTCCATCTTCATCATCATGTCATACTGCTTTCCTTTGCTGCGGTTCTTGAAATGATGGAGCACTTCATGAACAATGATGATGTTGTCTTGAATCATCCTCCCTCCCGTGAAAGCTGCTTGCATTTCCGAGACAAGGGATGGCATGAACTCTTTTATTCTGCTTGACATAATCTTGGAGACCACCTTGTACTTGAAATTGCAGCAGCTGATAGGTCGGAATTGGCTAACCGATTCCGGAGAGGGCACCTTCGGAATGAGCGCAATGTGGGTGTCATTCCACCCCTGAGGAAGCTTCTTTGTCTCGAAGAAGGACGAAACCTCTCTGCAGAAGTCATCGCCAACCGTATTCCAAAACTTTCGATAAAAGATACCTGAAAAGCCATCTGGTCCTGGGGATTTATGGGCACCCAGGGAGAAGATAGCTTTTCGTATCTCATCATTTGTGACAGGCTTGCTGAGGTCGACATTCATTGAGTCCGTTACGAGGCGTGGGAAGTCATTAAGCAAGCCGGCATCAAACCCCGTCTCTTTTGCAGTAAACAAGTCTTTGTAGAAGTCCTGAATATGCTTAGCAAGGAGAGAAGGGTGTTTGATCCAGTTACCATTCTGACCCTTCAAACCCAAGATACGGTTATAGTGGCGTCGAAAAACCGTGGAAGAGTGGAAAAATTTTGTGTTTCGGTCACCTTCTGCCAACCATTGAATTCTAGATCTTTGCCTCCAAGCTTTTTCTTCGTCTTTCCACAGGGTGTCAAGCTCCTCAAGAAGTTTTGTTTCCTCTTCAAGGACCTCATCCGTCCTAAAAGCCTGTTCGAGCATCTCAAGCCTGCTCTTAATCTCCCCTTCGCGGCGATGTTGAGCTTCCATCATGCCTCTCGCCCAAACTTTGAGATCCTCCTCGCATCGTTTAAGTCGCTGGTCATGAGAACCTCCCATCGTCCAAGCTCGAAGGATCACCTGATCACATTCGTCTTTCCCGATCCATCTTTCATCAAAGCGGAAAGGAGGACGGTTCCTCGGAGCAGAGGAATGGAAGTCCAGACGAAGAGGTCGATGGTCAGAGCCAATGCAGCTGTCATGATAAATGGCTCCCTCCTCAAATATTTCCCGCCAAGCCGGCGAGCAAAGGGCACGGTCCAGACGACTTTTGATGAGTCGTTCTCCCCTTCTTTTGTTTGTCCATGTGAATCTAGGACCTTTAAACCCCATGTCGATAAGGCTATTCTCGAAAATGAAGTTCTTGAAGGGTTGAGAAGACTCTCGCCGAATTGGGCCTCCTCCACACTTTTCGTAATCAAAAAGTAATGCATTAAGATCTCCGATTACAACCCAAGGAACATTGGGATTACTTCTAAAGCTAGAAACAAAATTCCAAAACACCCCTCTTTCACTAGCAACAGAAGGGGCGTGTACAAGGGTCATGAAAAACCCACTACCATAGTTGATAAAAACATCAAAATAATTCCGACCACGATCCAAAATTTGCAGATCGAAACCTGCTGTCCACCAAATGGCAAGACCCCCTGCTGTCCCTTCAGGATCGACATATTCTCCTCTGTAGAAGTTGTTGCTGATTCTTTTTTCTTCCATAGTAGACCTAGAATTCTTTGTTTCCATGAGGAAAACCAAAGAAGGGCGAAATTTCCTCAACATTCTCGTGAGGTGGCTATCTGTCCGAGGCTGCCCGATCCCCTGACAGTTCCAACTAATGCAAGTCATGGATCTCCGGGTGGCTTATAGCCGGCCACCGGCGCTTCAGAGTTGGCTAGCTTCCCCTTTCCTTCATTTTCCTGATAGCTAGCTTGATCCACTTCTTTCTCCAGGTTGAGCTGCTGTTGTTTTCTTCCTTTCACTTTGATCCTTGCATTGCGAGGCTTGATCGATCCCTCTCCGAGAGAGAAATACGGCCCCTCAAAGTCGAGAGGCTGTCCATGTTTCCTTTTCTTAACATCTCCCTGTGTTTCCTCATCTTGGCCAGAATGGTGAGAGTAGTTATAGCCACTGGGCCTGAGATTCAGATCCATCTTTTGGCTGAGGTCATGGACAATTTGAGAAACATTTTGTTTGTTGAGCTGGGCCATATTTGCAGGATGGTGCGAATGGATCTGGCTGATTGGGACTTCATATTTCCCACCTTGGGCCTGAAATGGCCCACTTTGATAAAAAGAATGGTGGAGAGGGCTTTTGTTCCAAAGCCCAGCAGCTTCCATCTCTGTCGCAAGGTTCCTCACCAGTGGAGGAGGGTTTGCCGAGTAGGAGAAAGTGGGAGAGAAACCTGGGGTGGACCCATAGACCACCAAATTCTGGTCGGGAGAAGGGGATTGGAGCCGTTGAGCGCTGGCTTCCGAGGTTGGCCTCGGACTGTGGGACAGCCTGTCCGTTGGAAACGGATGTGGAGTGAAGCCTGGTGGACCTCGAACTCCGAGCCCCCAACTCCCTTCCAATGGAGATGCCGGCGATCCAAGGTTGACAGAGCCGATCATTGGAGAAGCCATCCCTGGAACCCAAATCTGATTCTGGACAAAACCCGGGGATCCCGAGCTGGATCCAGCATCGCCAGGGGAGAGATGGATGATGCGGCCCCTCGGTGGTGGAGGAGGACGCTGAGCTCTTGTGCCGGCTTTCATCCATGGAGTGAAACGACCCTCCGGCGCCGCTGCAATACCTCCTTCCAAGTCCTCCCTTCTCTTCCGGCAATCCTGTTTCACATGCCCTTGTCGCCCGCAGTAATAGCAGAGAAGGTAGAGCTTCTCATATCTGAAACCCAGCCATTCCCTGACTCCATCAGTGGTGCAGTACGACCCCGGCGGAAGAGGTCGTGTGTGATCGACTTGGACGAAAACACGAACGAATTCCATGTATCTGTCAGGGTTGAGCCCCCTCAAGTCGATGCCGTGGATCTTTGGAAACATTGCAACGGCAGATTCAATGTTGGAGGCAGTTCTTTTATGATCCGGGATGCCGTGCACTTGGATCCAGTAGTCTGCCAAATCGAAATTGATGTTCAGAGGGCGGATAGAATCCTCCCATTTCTTCAGCTGCAGTGTGTTGCCAGAGACTTGCCATGGTCTTCCTTCCCAGGCCCGATCCATCTCTTCCTTTCGATTGAAGATGAAGACAAAAGTGTTTGCCGTCTTTTGAATATCTTGGACCGTCGGCTCGCAGAAGTTTGACCAGATTCCATTGATCATCCCTATCATGGCCCTCTTATTGACATCCCTTTCGCCAAACATTCTGCCCACAAGCCTCAGAGAACCTCCTTGTTGATTTGGTACAGTATCAGCAAAGGTGGCTTCATGATCCTCTTCTTCCCATCCCAGATTCGGGTTGTCTTGATTATCAACCAGAGTTTCCGACATCGCAATAGATCTTGCAAAGAAGAGGGGAAAGTAGAGGGGAAGGGTTTCGTTTGGTGGTTTCGTTGTGGAGGAGCAGATTGGCTGGGCGATTGCGAAGAAGAGGGGAAAGTAGAGGAGAGGGATTTCGTTTGGTGGTTTCGTTGTGGAGGAGCAGATAGGCTGGGCGATTGCAAAGAAGAGGGGAAAGTAGAGGAGAAGGATTTCGTTTGGTGTTCTAGTTGTGGAGGAGCAGATTGGCTGGGCGATGCTCTTAAAAAGACGGAACGGAAGCAGGTTTGTCACCATACTTGGTTGCATTGAAGCTTTGAGGTAGTTTGGTGAGATTTGATAGAGAGGAAAGGCTTTTATTGCTGGTTTTTGAGGCTCGAGAGGATTTTGGCAGGGGAAAGATCTTGGCTTGGGTTTTGGTGGACGAAAAAGGCTGGAGTTACTGCTCTCTGCCTTCATAACTGGCTTTTGAGGAAGGATGGTCACATTTGAAGAATAAAACATTGAATGCTGAGAGGCTTTTGGCTTTTGGTTGTTCAGGGGAGAACCAGTGGAAGAGAGCCCCTGAAATGCATTAACTGCCGTAGCAATAATGGCTGAGCCTCCATCCAACTCTTGATTGTCTTTACTTCTGGTGGGATCACTCATTTGAGTAGATATACATCTCTTCTCCATTAGAGTATCTAAGGAGGTTGATAAAGCACCATTGATGGATGCTTCTGGAAACCCAGATCTATTGTTTGAAAAAGCAGAGAGAAAAATAGGAGAGAGGTTTTCTAGTGAGAGAGTCATTTTTTCTCATGCTGGTAATTGAAGTTGAATCATCATGTACTACTTGGTTTAGGGCGGCTGTCGATTTGAGTCTTTTACGTTTTACCGACTTTTTTTCTGTATTGATGTCGAGCATCTATGGACCGATATAGAGCAAGCAAGTGATCAACCAATGGATATTCAGGGGTCGTTTGCTTCATGGATTTCAAAATGAGGGTTTTATAATTTAAAAACCCAAGGATTTATCAAGGATTTGAGGCATCATGGATTTATAACAATCCTTTATTTGTTGGGATGTTTTTACCATGGATTTAAAATCTCACATCAAGGATTTATGCCATATTTCAAATCCCACATCAACATGTGGGATTTATAAGTCCGTGGGGTCTACGGATTTGGACCCTTAAAATCCGTGGGCACCACGGATTTGATCTCCAAAAAAGGTGCAAGCAAACAACGGATTGTACCTAAATCCTTGATAGTTGGTTTTTTTTGTACCAAATCCTTGAAGCAAACGACCCCTCAATTCGTATGGTTATTGAATCAAGGAGTAATAAGCTATGGATTTGGGAAAGATAAGGGAATCGATTGTGGTGTCAATCGCATAGGGGTTGGCACGGTGCCAACCATAATGAGAATTCTTCAGTTAGGTTAGTAATTCAACTGATTAGAAGATAGTGATGGTAAATTAGTCAGGTAATTAACGTGTTGAAAGCACAAACCCTATTTAGAGCTAGGGTATTGGTTTTGCTTTTTCTGTATAAACCGAAACCAAATCGATAATGATATGTCAATTATGAATTTTCCATCTCAAACCGGTTGTGTGTAATTGGTTTCGGTTTATAACGAGAAATCGATAAGAAATCGACCGTATATATTAGTTGAGGGGTGACACCAAACCGGTTTTGCTTCAACCACCTTGTGCAATCCTCCATGCGCTTTTCATCACCGACGGCCGGCACCAAAGAATACAGTGGTTTAACTTGACGTCAAATATCACGAACAAGAGCTTGGCCTAGTCGTAATACCACTAGCTTAGAACCTGGAGGTCCCAGATTCGAATCCCTTAAGTAGTATCTTAATATCAACAAAATGAACCTATATCACCCTTATATATATTAAAAAAACTTGACATCAAATATCTTGAATAGATGATAGAAGATAACCCATTAATTAGGGATGACAATGGGTCGGGTTTTGTCAAAACCAAACCCAAACCCATGAGTTTACTCATGAAAAAACCCGGGTAAAACCCAATGGGTTTGAAAACTTAAACCCAACCCAACCCGCTGGTTATCCGCGGGTTCATGGGTACCACGGGTTTTTGTCGTAAAAAATTTACAATAACAAGTTCCTATTAAAATTAAAGTCAAATATCAATCTCTCAGTACAAATTATCATATATAAAACAACATTCTAGAAAATTCAAGCAAATCATAATTTTTTTTTTGTCATAGATAGTTTAAATCATAAATTAACTATACAAATTGTTCAACACCAATCTAGAAAACTAAAGTAAATTGAAGCAAATCACAAATTATTCATAAATAACATGATTAATTGAAAGTTTCTTCCTTTCAATTAAGTTTCTTCACTCTCCACTCGATAACATCAACTTCATTCTACACAGCTAGAAAGAAAAAATTAAACATGTCTCCACAAACATGAATAAGATTAGTTGTTTAGAATATTAAATATACCGAGAAAATTAATTATATGGGTGTGGACGGATACCCATGGGTCGGGTTTATCTAAACCCAAACCCAACCCGATGAATAGTGACCGGGTTTAAACCCAAACTCGGCCCAAAACCCGTCAACACGGATTTTACCCGCGTTGACCGAGTTGGATCGAGTGGGTACCCGTGAGTTCGAATTTTGAATGGCTACAACCAAACAAGTCATTGTTCCAGTCATCTAATTCTTACAATCTTTATATTGATAATAGATGTATTAATCAAATATACATATTTAAAGAATCTCAACTTCCAAACTAACCCTAAATCCAAACCAGATCTTCTTAGTCCTTAGAGCAAAATAACGGTATGTTGAACTCCATCGAAGAGTACCGGTAGTTGTAAGCAAGCAAACCAAACTCGCTGCGAGGTTCTTTTCTCTGCCTCGTCGGATTAATTAACTCTCAAACTTTATCCTCCTCCGCCTAACAAATCTATCTCCCTCCGTCTCGCATGAAAGCAAATCCCCTTTTCATAAATTAATTAGGTCAGACTTCAACTTCTCTCATCTTTCCCTCCAAATCCCCCCTCGTGCAGGATTTTGTAGGGGGTTTCTTTCTCTTTCTCCGCTCTTTCACATCCGCGTTCCTCATTCCTTTGGTGACCAGTCTATTCGGAGAGAGTCGAAGAAATTCAAACTCGGAAATCATACTATTCTGGACTCTTGCTCTGTTTCCCCCCTTCCCTTCGAGATGAAACAAGGAAGAGGATTGGGAAGGTTATATTGAATGAATGGTTGGTTGCGGCAACCATGTTTCTCTCCCCACCAAACCCGTTTCCGAGCGACGAATCATGGGGTTGGGTTGGGCGTGGGTTCTTCTTCTTCTTCTTCCAGTACCCGGAAATTGTTTCTTTTTGCGGCCTCTTTCTGGGTTTGCTTCTCCACTCTGTTTCGCTTCCTCACCGGAACTACCACCACGACTCTCAGCAGGTACCTCACGCAATTTCTTCCTTTCAAAGGTTCCAGTTTTTCTTCCTTGCATTACTCGATTTGTTAGTAAATATCGGTTCTTTTCTGGTACAAGAATCGAAATCAGTGGTGCCGCCATTACGGCAGCGAAAAGCTCCGACTTTGTAGAACCAGAGGAGCTGCCTGAAATGGGGACTGAACATGAAATTGAAGCGGAGTCGGACGTTTCTGAATATAGAGATGGTGATTCAGGGGATCAGAAGTCTCCCAAACTCGTGGACTTTGTAGAGCCGGAGGAGCTGCTTGAAACGGTGCCGAAACCTGTTATTGAAACGGGGTCGGACGTTTCTGAATGTAGAGGAGTAGTCACGGAAGAAAAGGATGATTCAGGGGATGAGAAGAAGTCGCCCAAATTCGTGTTCAAATTCGAGTACCAGAGCTATAGAGGAGAAGAAGAAGAAGAAGAGCAAGAGCAGATTGAATTCCAGCCTTCTTCTCCGTTGGACTCTATACCCACCGCTTCAACTACTAGTAAGTACGCGTTCTTGTCCGGAAAGGATTTTAGTCACTATGTGGAGGAGCCGGAAGCCGTTCGCCTCACCGTGAAGGAGTGTTTTCTAGGTTCCGATGAGGGTTTTGCAGCCGCCGGCGAAGTTTCCAAAGTTGTTGAGCCGGAATTTCTTGTTGAGGAGAAGGTGGAAGAGATTCCAACTAATGTTAGTGAAGATGCTGCGACTGAGGCGGAATTCTTTGATCAAGAGGCTTCAATCGGCAAAGGGAAGAAGGCAATTGATTTTGAGCTGCCACCAGAGGATTTATTCATGGGTGATGAAATGGAGTTGGAGTCGATAGCTTCAAGCAGTGGATTCATGAGCCGTTCCCTCTGCTCAACCAGTGATGATGACGGGTTCTTTTCAGATTGTGATTCTGAAAAAGAGGGAATGATGAATTTTCTCAACAGCTTGAACTACGAGGAGGGGGTCGATGATCCCGAGGATGAAGAATCACAACCTGAAGTGGGTTCCAAGGTAAATGATCCAAATGTTAGTAAAGATGATCCTTTTAAGTCTGATTCAAAGGATGATCCATCTGGTTGGGACTCTGAGGATTCTGGTAATGGATTGGAGATATTGTGGGAGCATCAGGAGTTGATAGAGCAGCTGAAAATGGAGCTGAAGAATGTTAAGGCAACTGGCCTACCGACCATTTTGGAAGACGACGAGTGTCCGAAGATCGTGATGGAAGATTTGAAGCCATGGAAGATCGAGGAGAAGTTCCACCACGAAGATAGGATGAGCGAGCTTCACAAGTTCTACAAGAGTTACAGGGAAAGAATGCGCAAGTTCGATATCTTGAATTACCAGAAGATGTATGCAACAAGTAAGGCAAAGTCATTTTTTCTTCACTTCCTTGGATTATGCATCAGTTTTTGTTTTAGAAACATGGCTACAAGATCTGTTGCAGAAAGTTGACAGCTTTATGTGTAGTGTATGAGAAATTGAGAACTTTAGAAAAGATTGTATAGACATACACTAGCAAGTAAAAGTAAAATCATTATGGATGAGCTTTTAGTAGAAAGAGCATATCAAGGATCCA